AATAACAACACGTGAAATCACTAAGAGATTAAATTTGTCAAATTGAACTGTTTATGAGTACTTGAAACAAATTGGTTTCGTTTCAAAGCTCGATATATGAATTCCACGAGTTCTTAAAGAGAAAGCTCTATTTGGTGAGATATTAAGGAAATTTTTTTTGGAGCTTTTACCAGACAATTTAACAATTGATTCGAAAGTGTACTGCATTCGAGTAAACAAATTGAGTAATATCATCAAACAGAAAAAGCCAGCTAGAATTGATAAAAAAAAACAGCTGTAGTGTTTTACCACAATAATGTAAAATTTCACACAAGTTTGGTAACTCGTCAGAAACTGTTATAACTTAGATGGGACGTGCTATCACACCAACCGTATTCGCCAGATCGAGCACACTCAGATTATTACTTGTTCCGGTCTGTACAATTTTTTTTAATTGTAAGACATTTGACAATGTCAAAAATCACTTGAATCGGTTTTTTGTAAGCAACGATCAAAACTTTTATGAATGAAATCGTGCTTCTACCAGAAACGATGACAACAAATATTTGACCAAAATGGTTGATATATAATTCAATAAAATATTTATTTATCATAAGAATATTGCGTTTTTTCCACGGAAAAAAACGAACTTACTTTCCGAACAACCCAATATAAAGGCAATTTTTAAAGTTTACAAAATGTTTGATGTTAAAAAAAATGAAAATAAAAAATGTTATTAATAAACATTATTCACACAGTTTAGTATTATATGATAATAAATTAAATACATAAATTATAATTCATTTTGTCAAATACTTACTCCATATGTTTGACCATCTTTACACTTAGCCAGAACTGTTCCTTGACTTCCAATTACATCAAGTGAGAATTTATCTGACCATTCCGAATCATTGACTTTCAGTGAAGCCTTAAAAATAAAAACAAAATTTTTTCATAAAATTTTCAAATTTCATTCAAATGTGTCATTTAAATAATTTGTTTTACAAAGCACAGCAACCTGAACCAGCAAATTATTTAAATCTAACATTTTTACCTATCTCTGCATCCATCTTCAAAATATCACAAAATGGAATTGTGAAAACACTGACTTCAACAAGAAAAATAACATAATTTCATCATACCTATTTTGATAACTGTCATTGATAATTATCTACTACCATCTGAGAACATCTCATTTTTCATCTTCTTGACAGCAAAAGCAATGCTTTCCTGTAATCTTTTGACCTTGCGACCACGCGCTACCGATTTTAATATCAGAACTGATGGCCCAATGAGAGAATCACTGCCAGTGCCTCGAATAGGTTAGTTTAGTGCCTCCTAGATCTCCTTCTCCATCTATGGATATTACCTATGCCTCGTACACAGATCTCATCTACTCCAGTAATGGATATTGCCTAATCCATGCATGAAGATATTACCTTTTCCACAAATTGCCTGTTCCATGACAAAAATACCACCTATTCCCCAAAGCGCCTATTCTCTGAACTGATCCTATCATCAACCTGTCTGCACAACCCTACTACTGAAGATGCCTCGCGTAACTGGAATGTTTTGACAGAACAATTGATCAGATATTTATCCCCAAGTGAATTATCATGTAAACTCTCTCTCTCGTGACCACTTAAATTATATAGTCCAGTTATTTCAATATAATATGATGTATATTCGTGTAACCTTTTTCTTTGTAATTAAATGATTATTTGTTTGCTACCCTAGTATCTGAGTGCATTACTTCCATCATGCTGTCTCATAGTCTTCCATCTGGTATCCAATCGCCTATGCGCATGACCATTCACATGTGGCAACTAACAAAAGAAAAGAAAAAATACACAGTTGTGGCTTCTGTGTCGAATGGGACACAATGGCGTCATCTTGATGAGGCACTGAAGAGGTGCCGACCCTCTGGTCACAGAATAACTAGTTTTAAACCAAATAATCATATTCACATAGTATTCAGTTTACAAATAATTATTCCATTTTGCAATATCCTGAAGATTGCTAAGGAATATGAGGAATAATGTTTTGACTCATACTGTATTTCCCCAAAAATAAGACCTAACTAAAAAATAAGCCCTAGCATGATTTTTCAGGGTGCTCATAATAGAAGTCCTATCCGTAAAATAAGCCCCAGTGAAGAATGTCAGCCAGATGATCATATTTAGTACGTCCATTGTGGGTTACAACGAACATATTGAATTATAATAATAATAATAATATATAATTAAATATAAATAATTATTATTATTAACATTAATACTTAAATGATAATATAAATTATAATTAAGTACCCAAGCAAGTGTCTTTGGACAAAACATCCCCTGAAAATAAGACCTAAACATATTTAGGAGCAAAAATTAATATAAGACCCTGTCTTATTTTCAAGGAAACACGGTATCATTCATGATAAATTATGGGAGTCCAGAGTATATTTGAACTTGGTATATACTGCAATATTTTATTGAAGCCAAATCATGCAATTTTTATATTTTTAGATATAATTAAGTACCGTTAGTTTTTTTTAATTATCTAATATAAAATTTAAAATAATTAAAAATTTAAAAACAGTGAAGCAAATCAATTTTATTATTTTAAAGACAATTTAATTACCTTTTTCTTTGCAAAAAAATTTTTTGCTTTAAAAGAAAACAACAATGGAAAATCCATTTCTGGAGAATGTTGAAGTATATTAGTTTCATCAGTCTACAATAATAATAATAATAAAAGTAATTGTAAGTAATTTTCATAATTAATATTTACATTAAATGTAGCAATTATTAGTTGTATTTTTACTAATTCTTGGATAACAAAATGCTAAAAAAAATAATTAAGTAATGAGTAAAATGCTTTTGCATCTAATTTACCTATCTGTTTAAAAAATAAGCATACAGAAAAGTGAAAAATCTATTGGTCTTACAGTGACAGAAGCAGTAATAAGAGTATAGATAGATATAATAAAAAATTAAGCAATAAACAGAATATTTAAAAAAGAATTCTAAAAAACATATTTATAACTTTTTTAAATTAAACAAATTATATTTTTCAAAATTAACAAAAAATTCAATTAAACATTCTAAACACTTTCAATACATTCCAAACATATGAGCAAAAAACGCATGCATAATGAAATATCAGGTTAGGATGAACACTCACAGACAAAGAGAGTGTTGAACCTCTTCTATTGTCTTTATCTGACTGTGTTAATAGAATAAATTTCAAATGTTGATCAATTAAAATATAAATTTCTACTCTATATGAAATTTTATAAAACATGCTTTATTTATGATTTAAATGCATATAAAATGCTTTTATAAGTCAATACTTTTAAAAAAGTAATATTAATACATTTAAATAAAATTTTACTTTTGAAACTAATTTTTTAAAATATGTTTTAAACACAAATTTCTGAATATTTTAAAGTAAAACTGTTAACATTATTAAAATTCAAAGTTATTTTTTTAACTAATAAATTCATTAAAATATTGTTATTAAAATTCAGATATTACTAACAAATATATTTGTAAAAATCTGTTAAGTTTTATTATGATGTTAAATTTTAAATATATTGAATTTGATTTTCACCTTTGGTGAACCTGATGAATCTGATTTCTCTAACTTCTTAGATTTCTGAAGAAAAAGATAAAAATAGATAGACAGAAGAAAAAAGTATTAATCACATATAGAACTAAAAAGGAACAACACTGATAATTACAACTTCACAAATTTCACATCAGTGCATTCACTAACTAAACAAACAAAAAGTGAATATGGATATCAATATATACAGAATAATAAAAAGTTTCTTTATATAACTTGAAATAAGTAATAATTTTATATATGTATGAAAATAAAAACAAGAAATAAAATTTTCAAATTTTTATTGACTAGTTTTATTTTAACTAACTTAAATTCTTTTATCATAAAAAATATGCAACATTATAAAAATAATAATAAATAATAGATTGTCATTATATTACAATAAAGTTAAATTTCACTTCCTAATTTTAAGTACATAAATATAGAAAACTACAGTTTTGGGTTTCTAAGTTTTTACATAACATACAGTGTGAATATGAAAAAATATATTTTCATAAACAGTCAACATTAAGATTGATAAAAATAGTATATTATGCAATTAGTTTATAATATAGGCGATTATGACACGAATTTCCGGAAGTTAGGTACACAAGCAGAGCAAGTGGGCCAATTTCCATAAATGCCATAATCGCTAACTATAAATAAATTGTCATATGGTATATTTTGTGGTTAGATTACACCTAAAACAATATACTTATGAAAATCAAAATTACATATACGCACAGTGTTCGTGTCAACCATGCCATAAAGTCATGCTACAAAAATTTTATGACATGGCAACTATTGATAAATATTGTTGCTGTACCATAAAATTTTTGGTGGTTGCATTAAAATTTTGTGGCACCCATGCCATAAAGCTTTATGGCATGGGTGCCACACTCACTGCATTTATACATGATTTTGAGTTCCATAAATATAGTATTATAGATATAGTCAACCACAAAATATATTTTACAGTGTCTTATATTTGTTTTAATTTTTTAAAAATCAATTAAATTATGGTCAAAATATTAGGACACTGAGAAAAAAACTAGAAAATGACATAGGCCATTTAAAGGATAATTTCTTAAATTAGTTCTTATGTTATAAAATTAGCAAATATAAAAAAAACTAAAATCAAAATTAAATTTCAGAACAACAAAGACTGATATTCAAATCAATTGCAAGACATTCTGTAGATTTCCAATTAGAGACAATCCAATGTCAAATTGTTTGTGGAACAGAACTAATGATAAAAGTTAATCCCAGAAAAATTTGGCATGTTGGATTTCCTGGAAGATGTAAATATTTTAACAAAGACTTTCTTATAAATCAGATTTAAGTAATAAGAATAGTAGGATGTACTTATAACTGAGTGACAGTAACAGTAGTTAGTTGTTACAAGATTCAAAAATTTCTATGTTTTAAGTATAATTAAAATGACAATTGTAATAAAAAATATATTTTCTATATTACATATAAAATCATTAAATAGTAAAAGCATTAAATGAATGAATGTAATAGAGAGAAGGAGACTATGGACTGCTTACAACAGATTCTCTTGTTTCTAGTTAAAATATATAAAATTAACTTTCATTAGCACTTTGAAAAAAATACATTTAAAAAATCTTTTTACATAAAAGGGATGACTATATATTACATAAGTGCTATGGCCAAAATGTTACACAATAAATTTAAAAGGAAGACTATTTTCTATATAGCATAAAAATGCAAAAACAACTTCGGCTATGAAAATAATGATATACAGTAGAGCAGGGGTCCCCAACCCAAGCCCGCCGATCGTTTTATGCGTGCCCGCCACTGTGCGACCACGATAAAAATATTTCAGTTTTCAATAAAATGCTATGTAAAAGTTTTCTTATTTTTAATGATTATCCACACAAAAGTAGAAATGGCATCCAACACAGATAAAAGAACAAAGCAAAATGCGACTGATCTCTTTTTCCCCTTGTGCCAAATCTTTGCCAACCTAATTTCCCATACCTAAAATGAAATGAACCGTTCTGTTTTTATGGTTGCTGTGACAACAAAGACATTTGTCTCATGAGAGCTAGACAGTAGTGTGGTTTATGTATGAGGTAAATGTTCATTCGAGGTATCTACTTCATTATTAATTTATAATTATATGTTCATATTTTTTGTATACTGTGTTTCCTTTTTCATTGTTTTTAAATACTTCCTCATTTTTACTCCAAAATGAGTGGATCAAGTAAAAGACAACGGACCTATAATTTTAATACTGAATGAGAGGATTCATATTGCTTCATCAATTTAAAAGACAAATGTATTTAGTATTTCATCCCTGGTGTCAGAGTGAAGTGAATTTACAAATGTATTTGTTTGTTGTGTGGAAATAGCGTTGCGATGCCGAAAAAACATAATGTTGAACGTCATTTCCTGACAATTCATGCTACTTTTAATATGAACTATCCACTTAAATCTGAAATAAGAAAGAAGAAAATACATCAACTAAAATCAAATCTGTCTGCTCAACAGTCAGTTTTCACTAGACCTGTGTTAAGATCTAAAAATGCCACTATTGCTTCTTTAAAAATTTCTCACATACTCGCAAAGAAGAAAAAGCCTTTCCAGGATAACGAATGTTGTTAAAAGAAACATTTCTTACTGGCGCCGATTGCTTATTTGAGGAATTTTCCATCAAACGTGATATCATGTCAGCAATACAAGACTTACAGTTGTCAGATAACACTGTTACAAGAAGAATACAAGCCATTTCAAAGGACATGCAAACTCAGTTAAAGAGTGATTTGGAAATATGTGAGTGGTTCTCACTTCAATTTGATGAGTCTACAGACATATCAGACACAGCACAATTAGCAGTTATGGTGAGAATGGTATTTAGTGACTTTACTGTAAAAGATGACCTACTAAAAATATTACCCATGAAAGGACGAACAACAGGTGAGGATATTTATAAAATATTTATAACATATGCAAAGTCGATAGATATGCCTCTCCAGAAGTCGTCTGCGATAATCACTGACGGAGCACCAGCAATGGCTGGTAATGTCAATGAATTTATTGCCCATTGCATAAAAGATAAATCATTTTCAAATTTTATGTCGTATCACTGTATTATCCACCAGGAAGTTTTGTGTGGTAAAATACTACCCTTCGGACATGTCATGAAAATAATTACAAAAATAGTCAACTTAATTCGCGCAACTCCTTTGCAACACCGCCTTTTCAAGGCCCTATTAGAAAATCCTGAAGGTCCTGATCTCATTCTGCATACTGAAGTACGTTGGCTCAGTAAAGGCAAAGTTCTTGCTAGATTTGTAAATTTAATTGAAGAAATAAAAAATTATCTCAATGCCAAACATCAAAATTTTTTTGAACTAACAGACCCTCGTTGGCTTTTTTCACAGACATAATGGAAAAACTGAATTATTTAAACTTAGAGCAGCAGGGAAAAGACAAACATATAGCTACAATGATAGGGTCTATAAACTCATTTAATTAAAGCTAAACTGGTTTTGTAAATATCACATCTGAAGATGAAGTCTCTTGTGCATTTTCCAAATATGAAAAAATAATAGGCGATGGTGAAATTGACATAAACATTTGTTATCAACCTTCAATTACTTCAAGACCAGTTTGAAAAGTGCTTTCAACAGTTTAATATCATTGAGCCAATTGTCACCTTTTTTGTCAATCCTTTTACTTACCAAGTAAATGTAACTGAACTAGCTACATACATTTCAGAGCTTGTTCAAGTAAGGACAGAAGAACTGGAGATAGAAATTTTGGATCTTCAGAACAACATTGTCCTAAAATCCATTGTATCAGATGAGAATTTCTGGAATATAGTTGAAAGAAACAAATTTCCATTTATGAAAAGAGTAGCATATAAAATAAAGTCGTTTTTCGGTTCCACATACTTGTGTGAATCATTGTTTTTGACAATGAATATCATAAAATCAAAGTACAGATCACGACTTACGGATGAACACCTTGACGATTGCTTACGAGAAAAAATATCATCATATTCTTCTAATTACGAAGCAATGGCCAACAAAATGCAATGCCAAAAATCACATTGACTTTGATATTTATATTTTTTATAAAGAATTTTTATACTTTGTAGATTTTGTATGCATTGTTTAATAATTACATATTTTACACAAGAATATTAACAATAATTTTTGTGTGTTAAATTACATTTTTTTTAATTAAATGTTTTTTTTTGTACATTATGTGTATGTATTATTAATGTAGGCTAGTATGCTATTCAAGCCAAGTATTATTAATTGGTAATTAAAACTCACTGTGTTTAGCATTATTAATCATTTTTCATTCACTTGAGCGCTTTCGACGAATATAATTGCCGAAAGCGCTCAAGTGAATGAAAAACGATTAATAATGCTAAACACAGTGAGTTTTAATTACCAATTAGTATGTATTATTATTAACTATGTCCAACTATAAATTCACCTTGAAAAAAATAAATGGTGCCCACCATCTGACAGGTATTCTAGAATGTGCTCTTAGGTACAAAAAGGTTGGGGACCCCTGCAGTAGAGCATCAATTATCCGAATGTTGATCAACCAAAACGTCAATTAACTGAAAGCTTTCCAGTCAGCAAATTTAAATTTCTGCTAGTACTGTGGTGCTGCAATCTTTGGCTACATCTTGGGCTACTCCAATATTATTTTTGTTGGTGTGTGTGTTTTAGCTGGCAGCATGGCGCAACCATGAGAGGGTACTTAGGGACGTGCCAGAATTTGAACGAATTTCAACATGGGATAGGTTAATATATTTCTTCGTACATAATCGGTTATCTAAAAAATCAATTTTCTGAACAATCCCAATCCCCAATTGATTCAGATAATCGATGCTCTACTGTATCATCATCTTATTTGCTTTGAAATGTTGCTTTGGGTAAAATATCTAACACTAGAGTTCAGTCAATTCATGAAGCATTCAAAATGATCAATTTTTCTTGTAACTTTTTATTTTCCATTTCAAGCAGCTTTTGATATGCCTTTTTGATAATTCTGGATAATAAATATAGTTGAACATATAATAGTATATTCTTCCACTTCTTATTAAATTTTTAATGTGATGATTTCATTATTAAAATTTTTTTTATTTTAAAATTTATTACGTTATGGATACATTTCAGCTATTTAAATTTTACAACAAAAACAAAATTATAATTTGATTTTAAAATTTAATTTAGCATAAATGATTCACACTTGCTCACTTTAAAAACTGTTCAATTCCTGAATTTTTTAAAATAAGTATTTTATAAAGTGCATGAAATTTTTAAACTTCTTGGAAAACATTATGTAATAAGATAACAAAAATATCTGTAAAAATACTAAACTACATTTCACTATTAGGTTTGAAAAAAGTCTTCACTTTCACTAATTTTAAAAGATTTTGAAATATCACATGAATATCATGGATTTAGAGACAGAAACAAAAAAGTATTGAAGTAGTAATGACTTATTATCATGCAATGCAATGAAAAATGAAAACTAGGAGGAAAAAAAACCTCTGATTTTTAAGAATGAAATAGATAAATCACAGATCAACTATTTTATAATGAGAAGTAAAGATCTAATGCTCACAATATAAAATTATCTTTATTAATTCACAAAACAATGTAATAAGCAATTATTTATTATGACATCATCACAATGCTGCACTGCAATTTTTAATCATATTTTTAATTTCTTTACTTAACATATATGTCCTCCACCTTCAAATTAGTAGTAACTTGTCCCTGTACATCATACTTTTCCTTTAACAATAGAGTTGTGTCAGTCATCTATCTAACACTTTTCAGGAGAAAATTTTTGAATTGAAATAACATGACTTTGGTTTGCACTGGAAGTTTGTATGTAGTTAATCAGGGCCTCCTGCCCCTAAGGTTTCCATATCTGGTCTTGTATTTCATCTACCTAATTCCATTCTCAAGATTAAAAAAAGACCAACAGATGGATAGACAACAGTGGGAATTTATAGGTCTACAATTTTTTCAAATTGCAGCCCAATTAAAAAACGAAATATTCCAACTTTTGAAGCTTTTACAAATATGACATTTTCCTAAAACATTGAAGAAAAATGGGCAAAAATGTTTGTTCCAGTAAAATATATTAGCCAAAGAAACATAACTGCCTTTATTATTTTAGACAGCTGACAAGAACAACTATTAAAACCTTTCTAAACGACAGATAATATTGAAATAGAATGAATAAGACAAATAATAAAGTTGCCTTATATTTACAGGGTGGTTAATAAATATTTTAAATTAGTTTACCTATATTTAATATGACAATCTTGTCATACTATGCATCAGTTGATAGTTTCATCTGCTAAAACTGAATATATGAATAAAATTTTTACTATATTATTAAGCTAGTTTTCTGTATATAACCAAACTTTTCTTATTGTTAAGAAAAATGCATTTACTTTGACTTATCAAAATCAACTTTTTTACTAAAAAATATAAAAATATATAAATAAATTTTCAATTATACAGAATTTAATATTCATATGTATAATTACAAATATTAACCTCAATGGAAAGACAGATATATGTAATGATTTTATAACTATATAATGAAAAAACGGCAAAACCAATTTGTATATCTGCATACTGTATATTATATATTTGTACATTAAACAATATTAAACAATCTGTATATGTTTAATATCATTATATCAAATAATTGTTTTACATTTGTAGAGTAAATTTTTTCTTTAAAAAAGTAAACACATCATTTTGGATTGTATGATAACAGAAGCAGAATTTTATCTCAAACATTTTAATTATAGGCACAATCATTCAATATGATGATAGTCTTCTTTATGGATAGTCTGTAACTGAGTAACTTTGAGTCACAAAGCTATGCAACATTTTTTTAAAAAAGTGATATAATCTAATGACAAAAGAATTTTCTAATTTAAAATGTGCTTTAAGGATTATTATGTATATTTCTAACTTTATATATGCTTATACCAGAAATGCATTATGTAAGATTATGTTAAAATAAGCTACTACTATACATATCACTGGTTATCAATTGACCTTGACTAAATTTATATTTAATATGTTGAAACTGTATATTTTTTGAATATATAACAAATATTAATAAAATAAGCAAAACCAATGTTTAAATATGAAACATACTGAAAATATTAGAATAATTTGCAAATACATTAATCTTTTTCTAACAACCTTTATATAATGAAATTTGTTATAACAACATAAATGTATATAAGTAATCCTAATATAATATTTTCAATTTATTTTGTATTTAAATGTTTTATTTCTTTCTATTAGCATTTGTTAAATTTAAATTTCTCAGAAATATCATTTACTGGATATTTTTAAAAATAAGCCCCTTCAAAACTAAATCCATGGGCTCATTCTTAGATAACAAATTTACTTTCACTTCCATAACTTCAGTAAACAACTTTTGGCATAACAATTTCAAAAATAACAATTCTCATAAACTGAAGGGCAAGAAATGAAGAAAAATCTCTTTACAGATAAAAGATTAGCTCATTGTTACAGTACAGTTACAGTTACATTCTTCTGTCATGTATATGTCAAATTTCAACAATCTAATAATTATCTGTTTAAAAAATTTGTAATATCTATAATTCATTATATTTGCTTCTGAGAACATTTAATTTTTAAACAACAATAATAGAAGTGTTCAATACTTACTTTACAATTAAAAACATTATACTTACTCTGTATTTTAAATTTAAACCTGTTTTATTCACCATCCAAAATGGACAATATAAAGAAAATTCTAAAGAACCCTTATTTTTTACAATACGCATGCCAAGATCCTGAAAGAAATTTTTTTTAAATCAATTCTTATGCTACTCTGTTGTTTCATTATTATTGAAGATGAATAAATCCAATCATTTCAATCATACAAAATACATTACCAAAACTAATTTCTTATCTGTATTCGCTGATGCCTCAAAAGTCCAAACAGATAACTCATTTGATGAAGTTTCTAATTTTTTTGAGCAAATCCATTCATGATCCAAGTAATTAGAAATCTAACAATGAAAAATTAATTTTATACATATATATATAAAACACTAACTATAAAATCTAAACTTATAAATTAAAAATACACTTACTTATTATATTAAAATAAAATATTTACATTGTATAAAAAATAAATAAATATTTTAATATTTTTTATACAATGTAAATATTTTATTCAAATATAATCAGTACTTTCAACTAAATAAAACTTTTATATTTGAAAAAATTCACACACATATTTACTTCTTAAAAAACTGGTTGTATGGAATGAAAACAAATAAATTTACTCAAAATCAGTAAAGAAAATAAAATTATTTACTGATACAAATGTTTTCATCTGTTTCTAATGATCATCAGGTATATCATAACCAATATCAAACAGAACAATGTTAAGCAATCAATATCAGCAAATACAGTAGAGCATTGATTATCCGAATCAATTAAGGACTGGGGTTGTTCGGAAAATCAATGTTTCAGATAACCGATTATGTACGAAAAAATATATTGATTTATCCCATCTTGACATTTTTCTCCATTGTGTGTCACTTGAATTTTCATCGATGTTAAGCCTAACAAAGACTATTGTATCGTTAAAAATTATTTTTTTATTTTGTACGAACAAAATAAATATATTAAGAAATATAAAAACAATAAAAAAATTATACTTCAGACGTTAATTTAGTATCAAAAACGTAAAATATTTGAGTAGCCCAAGACATAGCCACAGATTGCAGCGCCACAGCACTGGCGAAAATTTAAATTTGCCGACTGGAATTCTTTTGGATGATTGACTTTCGGATAATCGACGCTCTACTGTAGTTTTATTCCTTTTACTGGTTTTGGGTATATTTGTGTGTATTTTTATTCACACATATTCCATTCTTTTAAATAAATATTTTCATAACAATATTTTTATACATATTTTTAAATATTCTTTCTACAAAATTGATTAAATTACATTTAATTAGGTTCTAAACATACAAATAAAAAAGAGCCAACTTTTTTTAAATTTACATACTTTTAGAAGAATGTTCATGGTCTTGCAAAGAAGTTTAAAGCATTTACACTTACAAAACCAAAATCAAATTGTTAGCCATACTTAAACATAAACTGCTGAATTATTTTTCAGGTTATTATCTGGAGAACTAACCCAGAGTAGATTTTGAGTTCCATTCTGGTTCTAATTTTTCTTCCAGAATTTTCTGTTTTACTTTTTGACATATGAAAACAGTAATTTTTGCTTAATTTTTTAAAAATAGAGTTATTATAAAATAAAAATTTAATTTTATTTGGAAATAAAATAAAATAAACTTATATACCTACACATTTTATATTATTCAATGATACTGTTCAGGGACTTTTCTTGGACAGGAGAAATATTTTCCCAAAATATTTATAAAATAAATTTAAGTTTTAAAGTAATTAAATAATATGTAAACTAAATTTTTAGACTTCACACTCAAAACAAAATTAAAAATAGATAAGTAAATAAAAGCAAACATTTTTAACTTTGATAAATTAATTCCTAAAGCTAATTTCTGGTAGCCAGCAATGGAATAATCTGTAGACAAATGAAAACTATTTGTTATAATATAAATTATGGTTCAAAGAATTTTTACTTAATTTTTGTAAATATAATTCACATATTAGTGATTTTACAATTTTTAATAAACTGAGTAGATTGATAGTAACCAATAGTAACCATTTTTAGTCCTACGGCAATCTAGAAAATAGGAAATACAGTGGAACCCCGGTTAACGTTCATCCTGGTTAATGACCAAATCAGTTAACGAACTTTTATTTTTGCAAAAATTTTGTCTCGGATAATGAACAAAATTCGGATAACGAACTTAACGGCTTTTTGTGTCAAATTTCCCCAAAAGTTGGCAAGCTTACAGCTTGCCAACTTTTAGGGAAAATCAGTTAATCGTGTGTCGGTGATGGTCCATTTGTACGTAGGGTCCATTCGATGGTAGGGTCCATTCGTACGTTGGTGTGGCGGAGGAGACAAAGATGACAAGTATTTTACAGTGAAAACCGTTTATTAGAATGGAAAGATGCTTAAATATTTGAGGTAGTTGGAAATGGCTTATCTACAGTAGTTTCTCTCGGCACTGAGGAATGGCGTATCGCTGGTCCTACGATAGTGCAAGCTGATCAGTCGTGGCCCCAGAGCGGACGAGATGGGTTCGCTTGGTCACAGAAGCGATGGTAGGTGACAGAGCTACAACAATTGGAGCGGTCTGTGAGACACAACACAAATTTTAGTGGGTACGACTTCAGGCTTAATCCACATGAAGACGACACAGATTAATCGCCATAGAATTTTTATAAAAACTGCGTTTTGACCTTGAGATTTGGAGTTTTTATATTATTTCTTCCTTGAATCTCACTTTACAATTAGTCCTGCGTCCCATTCCTCGCTTCCCGATTGTTTTCTTCTTTGTCTCCAGGTGAAAACCGAAACCAGATCAAGTCACGAGAAAGGTTTGTTCCGAGGCGTTTATTTGACACCTGTTCGTCGACTCTGATCAGAGATTGTTGATAAACCTATAAGCCTTTTGCTCATACTTTAGCCTATTGTTTCTGCTATCTGTCATTTTAGAACTTTAACGACCATATGTGATGTTTTTATACCCGTCAAATCTTTCCCCTTTTCCGAAAATTTATCCTAGATCGACTGTTTATGAGCACGTCTTCCTATATTTTCATTAAAGAAAACCCATTTTACAAATAAAATTACAAAAATACGACATCTAGAATGGATTAATTGTATTTGCATTAATTTCTATGGGAAAAATTGCTTCAGTTAACGAACAATTCGGTTAACGAACAGACTCGTGAAATGGATTACGTTCGTTAACTGGGGTTCCACTGTAATTATAATTGCAATAGTGGGAATCTTGTAGAAGTGAGATTCGCTAATATAATATTTCCTCAATTAAACTCAAGAAATATATTTGAAAAAAACAACTTCCCTCAGAATACTGGGAAAGATAATTAACACACGAGAACCTTATTATATCCCAGTAACAATAAAAATTAAATAAAACTAATGTTTTTGATCATATTCATGGTCTTCCTCAGGCTTTTGACCAGTACAATTTGAATATGGAATGCATTGAACAGTTATATTTAAATTATCTTAAAATTCTGAAAAATTTAAAACTAGAAGATAATTTTTTAGCCAAATGTGCTACTATAGTGATAAAAATATCTTTACATCACAACAAATAAATATTAAGATGTATTTAATGGTGTAGAACAGGTGTGGCCGAACTTTTATCCCTTAGGGGCTACTTTTTCGGTAAAATATAGTCTGCGGGCAACTATGAATATGGGCAAACAATTTTAGGATTTTTCAAATTTTTCATAGATATTTTAATAAATAGTTAACAATTTCAACTAAAAAAAATATTATGGCAAATAAAGAAAATAAATAATTATATATTTTTATTTTATGAAGCACCATAATATTTATTAAATTAAAAAAATTACAATGTAAGGAAATAAATACCCAAAAAAGTTTTAGCAAATGAAGAAAAAATGTTAATTATAATTTTTTTTATTTTTTGAGATGAAATACTTATTAACTTAAAAAAATACATTGAATAAGCATTTTGGCCTTTCTTAATGCAGTACCATGTGGATAATCTCTTCATAGTTTTTATGAACTGTTAGAAAATGTCTTTCAACATTTGCTTTCTTAGGCAAAGCTACTGTTGCAGTGCAAATAAAACACACACATTTATTTTTCATCATAGTAAAGAAATAATCTTCTTCCCATTCACTGTGATAATGATAAGTTTTTATTTTTTTCTGGCCTGTACTTGGTTTATTCATTCTAAAATAATAGGGTTAAATATTAATAACATTTAAAACAATAATTAATAAACTAACATACCTGCTTCTGTTCACTGTATGAATAAATAAAAAAAATTAAAATTGAAAGTAAATACAAGTGCACAAACAAGGAGTAACAAGTGGATTGAAGCCAGGGGCTGTCACGTTACTGTCTGACACATGATTTTGCGCCATTTTATGCGATTGCATGCGCTAACATTCATTTGCATTGTTCATCAGGATAAATACAAACAGTATGGGTATGTTGCACAGACAGTCTATTATTGTAAGAATAAATTATCGAATTAAGATTTTTAAACATTAATTTAAGGGAAAGCAAATTGTTCAACTTTAGCTTTGCAGACTACTTTCAAAACCTTTGCGGTCAACCGGGGTCTACGTGTTGGCCACCCCTGGTGTAGAATAAGCATCTAATGTTGCTCTTGTTTTTTCTCATAGCACCACTTCCATGCATAAGAAACATTAGCAGCACTTACAGGAGCACAGTTACGATATCTCCAATCAAAGGCATGCCACCGTCCTAGCTTCCTATGCCACGGACCCCAAAATACAAGCCCACCTCCATAAGGCCAAATTATTAAAAATGTTACATCAAGTTGAGCACCTTCACAACCTAGAAGCTTTAGAAATTTACAAAGCTGGACTGGCTGGCAACTATATTAACACAAAGGATGCCACTAATGTTTCTTATGCTAAAGGTGGTGTTATGAGAAAAAACAAGAGCAACATTAGATGCTTATTCTACACCATTAAATACATCTTATTATTTATTTGTTGTGATGTAAAAATATTTTTATCACTATAGTAGCACATTTGGCTGAAAAATTATCTTCTAGTTTTAAATTTTTCGGAATTTTAAGATAATTTAAATATAATTGTTCAACGCATTCTATATTTGAATTGTACTGGTCAAAAGCCTGAGGAAGACCATGAATATAATCGAAAATGTTAGTTTTATTTAATTTTTATTGTTACTGGGATATAATAAGGATCTCATGTGTTAGGTATTTGAAAACTCAATATTTTTAAAAAATAGAGTTTATTACCTTGCAACAGAATACAATTAGATAAAAATTAAAGGAAATACCTTAATTAAACATACTTTCCACACCATCAATACCATTTATTTACTGTATTTATGGATTATAGATACAACAATTGAAATAATTACTGTTTTCATAGTTATTCCAATTCAGTTAATAAATTGTCATTTGTGTCTGCTTTGATGTCCTTATAGGAATCAAGATCCTAACTACTAATTTCTGGTTCAACTTGCTGTCTCTTTTAAATTAGAGTTTTCCAGATAAGCTTTAAGTTTCGGCTGATAAGCTCTTGACTTATGAACTTGTTGGCAACTTTCCAATACTCAATATTTCACAATATTTATAATTTCATTCCAAAAAATGTTTCCATGAACCTTGAAATAAAGTACTGTCCAATTCTAGACAATTTGAAGAGATAGAATTTTAGTTAAATTTCTTACCTGACACTCTAAACTACATTGCACTATACAGCGAAATACTTCCAACATGTTTTCCATGCTTTTCAACCTAGGATATATGGCATATAAGACGAGGGTTTCATTCACTTTTCATTGCTTCAAAAAACATAGATCATCCTATATGTGCAAACAAAGAATTCTTTGGGTTTTTGCAATAATTTTTGTGAACCATGTATTCGCATTTTTTACTGGATGCTCACCCTCTAGTGTTTAAAAACAAAAGTATTTTATCTGCGTCGTTTGAATCATTCTTGTATATTGTCAGGAGTAAAGATGAATAGCAATAGGAAAAGCAAAGCTTTTGAACTGAATTCCAAAATCACACAGGAGCCTGATATAACTTTTAATCCATTCCCTCGTAAAATAGGCAATTATTCAAAAACCAGAATTCGGAAAAACTCATAAGTGTAATCAACAGAGAACGGATTTGACTGTTAAGAATTGGCAAAAAAGTTCCTGATTGTCCAGCTTTACATGAACAAATTATGTAGTCAATTTTATCAGATTTTTCTTAAAGTTTAAAATGCCAGTAATTTTTGCAGGACAATGTGTGCATTTGATAATATTTTATTTGTGGTTAAATGAAATAAAATTAGAATTGTATTAATAAGTCTAATTTTCTTTATTTTGATCTTTAAAGTCACACCTCGTTCTATATGAAAGATTGTCTTATACGCAAGTAAACATGATATTTTTAATAGCATCTCTATTTCCTGGAGTTTATTATTCAGAGTAAGATTTATTTGAATCCTGGGATTATGAATCAAAGAAATGTAGTATATACTAAATTACAATATAAATATCAAAATATTGTTTATAACTTGTAACTTCAACTTTGATATTAAATTTATAAATTAGAACATTAACTAAAATTAATGTGACATTTAAATATATTAATTTTTATAGAAAAACTTACTTTTATTTCAATTACAGTTTTTCCTATTTCAGCTGTCCAAAGTTCAGTACTTTCTCCAGGTTCTAAAGTTCTAAAATCTTTAACATCCTAAAAGAATTATAATAGTTCATAATAATTTGTATCAAGTTTTTAATAATATATCTAATCTCAAGAAATTTTTGATATACCTGACATTCAAACTGAGTATTTTATCTTACATTAATCATACACTGTATTGTTAACTAGCATAATACAATTTCAAAGTTAGAATTTACAAAACCAGCTATTTTCAATATATTTCTGGATAAATTTTAAATAATTTACTTTTAAAGTTTTTAAACTTTTGAACATAAATTAAACTTGACATGCTGCATAACATTAAAATATCTTCTAATTCAATCGTTTAAGTTGTTCAGAATAAAAATTAATTGAAAATATTTGGTTTCACTATTACTTCCTGAAGAAAACATCACAATAAAACTAACATAATTTGATTTTTTAAATTGTTTTAAAAAGTAAAACTAAAATTTCAAAAGTAATAATATTAATAATAATAAAATGAAGGCTTCTTACAAGGTTAATAAATAAATATAACTTATAAAAACAGTTTAAATTGAGTAACTTAACAAAATATTACAATTTTTAAGTATTAAAATAAAATTAAATACAAATAAAAAACTACTAATGCTATAAAAATTAAAATTTGAATCTCCAAGTGATGTGCGCCTGTGCCAGTTGTTATAGCATTGCATCATTAATTAATAGCCTCTCAAGCTCTTGATAATTGTTTTTCTTCTTTAAAATTAATTGACAGGCCTTTGCAGTCTGCTTTTAAAATTTCTAACGCCTCCAGATTTTGCAGTTGGTTTATATGTTGGGTTTGTTGAATCATTGTCACTTGTTGTAGATTAGGTGTAATATCGTTTTTGTTGGCATATATCACTAAGGCGGTACTGCTTTCCTTTTTTTCAATGTCCGTGTTGTGCTCACAGGGGCATTGTTTGAGCAATTGTTTTGTAGATCTGACATATATGAAATCCCTAGTGAATCTTTTATCTTTTAACAGGATTTTATACACTCCTGGTGTTCTTTTGATTTCGGCCTGATCTTTCTAATTTTTTAACATGCCAAATGTATCTGGCTTACGTCTGTAGGCTATTTTTGCATTAGTGTAAGCCCCAATTTCTTGATATAGGGACTGCACAGGGTGCTCATATGTTATAGCTATACAATAGGGAGATGTATCTTGTTGTGAATCATCTTCTGGGATCATATTCAATTGGTTTTTGAGCTGGTTTTTTTTGTTATCGGCCATTCTATATATTAGGCCTTTATTGTAGCTGCAACTTTCAGCAATTTCTGCTATTTTCCTTATTTCCCTCCATTGGTCTTGTTCTTTGCTACAGTGTGTGTAGGCCCTTCTGATAAGTGCTCCAAAAGCTGCCATTTTGTAGTTGTATGGGTCACTAGAGTCAGCTGGGATGTACTGTATATCGGGATGGCACTTGGTTTTCGGTATATCTTTGTGTCATATCCGCTACCATTGAATGTTATACTAAAGTTCAAAAAGTAAATTCTTTGATGAAAGATGAAGCCAATCATCAAAGAATTTATAAGATGCATGAATTGAAACCCATATGGCCTTACAATTGAATTGGAACAAATAAGCAATAAAGAGGCTCATTTTTTAAACTTTATAGTATAACATTCAATGGTAGCTTCAATATCTACCATTTGGCGTCGTTGTTGGTGCCACTTGATATTGGTAAATTTAATATAAATTAGTTTATTTTCTACTGTCGCAAGATAATTTTAATAACTGTATTTGTTATTTAATCTTACAAAATCATCTTATTTTATAATGTCTTAGAGCAAACCACATTCACAAATAAAGAGTCCGTGATGTACTGTAAACATCACCAAATTGTAAACATGTACATTTACAAGTATTGTACTGTACATACATAAATTCGTAAATTTAGATTACTTGTTTTCTGTACTATATTAAAAACCAAAATTTATTTGATTGTAAGCTTAAAATATATTCTTATTAGCCATATATTATTAAAAATGCATTTATCAATAAAATACAGAACTGGAAATGGTTATTTGTGGTTTAGCCTAGTGACAAGTAAATTCAGAGACAGGTAAATTCAACTTGCGTCATTTTTCAACTTAAGTCACCTCTCCTGGAACCAATTACTGACGTAAAGTGAGGTATAACTGTACTGAAGCACATCACCTATGTAATTACAGAAAAGGGAGAGCTTACAAGTAGGTCTCTCATGGTTGTCCTTTCTGGAGATAGTTCTAGAATAAATCCAGTGTTCCAAGATCACAAGAATAATTCTCCCAATGAGTCCTATGGAGAATCCTCTGGTGACTGGTGAGTACCAAAATAACAACATCAGTAGACTAAGTATTAGAATGGAAGAGTTCAACAGAAGAAAGGCATAGACAGAGATGAAAACAGAGAACAAACACACAAAGAAAAAATGAGACCTGTCTCTTAATGATCAGGAAAAGAGTTTGTCAGAACAGTTAGAGAAAAAGTTTGTTTTGTCTTAGAATTCTGGTGTTTTTATAAAATCTGTTTCCAAGTAAAACATTTTGATTGGTCCTAATCTCTCATTGCTTTCTGATCGATTCTCCTTCTGTATCCAAGTGAAATTAAACCAGATCAAGCCATGAAAAATATCAATTGTCAATGTAGAATTTGAGGCCATTTCTCAACACAGTGTTGTGTAACAAACTTTGGAACCTATGCTCATATTTTACAGCATTATGTTTTTCCATCCTAACAAACAAGCATTTTAACTATATTCTCAAGATATTTTCTTACTAATAAAACGTTCCTGTTCCCTCATTTTGTTGCTATTTTGGCCTCTCTATGAGAGCTAAAATCAAAGTTTGTCTTTTCAATCTGGCATCCATCAACATGTGAGCTAGAGTCCAACTTGTGACTGCATAGGGCAACTTGTGACTGCATCATGTATTTTACATTTCTGCAATGTGTTTATTTTACAAAAATCTTTCTATACTCAAATATATATATATGAATTTATAAATTCATCAAAATTAGAGATGGATACTTGAATAATGTTCCTTATAAGAGTAAATCATTACTTTGATTCAACTGACTTTTGTCCATCATTAATTTCTAGCATGACATTCATTTTGCCAATGAATAGCTCCAGATTTACAAGAACACATACATATAAATGGTTGTTTGTAACCAGTGTGTTCATCTAATAATTCAGATTTTCATTTGGTAACAGAAGACATGCAATTACAGATATCACATTAATTTTAATTAAATATTATTTTATTATTTAAGTAAGTTAATCATATAACAATATTTTGTAAAAGATTTAAGTAATATAGATATTATATTTCTATTTTATATCTTTAATTGTAAAACAATTTTTAAATGTAAAACGACTACTTAATGAATGCATTATTCTTTGGTGTCTAGTATTAATAAAATATTAATAATAACTTAAGAAAAAGATTGACAACATCTGATATAGATTAGTATTCAATTTGTATGAGACATGAATGAAGATTTTAAAATCTTCATTCATATCCCATTGTAGTTATTTATAAATTATAACATTAATGTAAGTTACGTTAAAAATACTATTTGAAACTAACCTGCAAGCAGTAGCTTATCGAATAGGGTAAAAGATTCTTCAGTAATGCAGTTGGATGTAAACTGATGCTATACGAAACACTGACCATTGTTTTTTTATGACTATCTTCAAAGAAAATGCGATTTATTTTTCTGGATACCTAATTAATTATTTAATTACAAATAATTATATTAAATAAAATATTACTTTTTAATGTTTAAATAAAGTTAATATATAATAACTCAAATATACAAATAAAATTTAAAAATTTATTTAAATTTTATTTATTTTTATTTATATATTTGAGCTTAGAAATAGCACCTACAATAAGGATAAGAAATAATAGTAAGAAAGTGATATTAACTGAGAAACTAGATATGTGAAGAGCTTAAAATGTTTAAATTGAAGTAATATAATTAATTTGATATAATAAGTACTCTGTTTGAACATGTTTGAACTAATACATGCATAAATTTCAAGCTGATACAATTAGCTGTTAATTAGCTATTAAAATGGTAATAGTTATCTGGGTGTACTCTTTGGCATAAAAATGAGCTATTGAAATTTAGAGCAATGTATTAATTAAAACCCCTTCCTACCCACGCTTGAGTGTAACTTGAGCAAGGTTTATAGCGTTAAAAAAAACCGGGCGTTTGGGCCCCCCAAAAAAATTTTTGTTTTTTTTTCAATTTTTGGAATGTTTTTTAGGTCCCCAAATTTTTTCAAAATTTTTTGCCCACGCGAAAAAATTTTATCGCGATTTTAATGAGCCTTTGATAAGGCTCGATTAAGGCTTAATTGCTTTTTAATGTTTTTTAATGGAAGTTTTTTTTATCAAAATTAATTAATTGTTCTAAAGTTGTAGTACACCGATTTTCCTTCGGTAAAGTTATTTAAAGCTGCTTTCTGATGTCAAAAACGACTTCCGATAGTTTTTTAATTTTTTTAATNTTTTATTATATATACGTTTAATTAATTAGGAGGGTCGGAAATTGCAATAAAAATGATAATTTTTTTAAAATATTTAAAAATATAGGTTTAATTTCTAGTCACCCTACTTTAAACCCTTCTCCTCCCGAGACATCTATGAGAATGTCCTGGGAAATACGACACCAGCTGTTCTCAAGGTCATCCAGATGTGTAAACAATGACTCATCGGTGTTAAATTTCACAGAAAGGCGAGACAAAGGAAACTAAATGATGAAGCTTTTTAATCAAAATTAACACATTTCTTTTGTTTTTTTCAGTTTTAAGTATTTTTTATGCTTAATTAAAAATTTTTTTTAAAAAGTGGACAAGCGGTTAATATTAAATATTGTGTGAAAATTGCAAATATGCTGATAACACTGAATACCGAAACATAATAGTATGACCCAGAAATGAAACATCAGAGCATGCAATGAAAATCCCAGAGTTCACTGCCCCCTAAAAAGGCACGCATGTCATGCTCACAGTTTAAAAGCATGTTGGTGGGTTTTTCAATCACAAGGGAACATCCATCAACAATTCATTGAACAGGAACAGTCAACCAACAATGCTAATTAGAAGTACTGCATAGATTACAAGATTCTGTTTGAAAGTAAGAAAAACTGAACTATGGCCTGATAAGTGGATCATTCGTCATGCCAAGTCATAGTGCACTCAGACATTTTCTGGCTAAAAAAGCAATTACCCAATTAGATCATCCTGCCTATTCACCTGACAGCCTCCTTTAATTTCTAGTTATTTTCAAAATTAAAAGCTGTGCTGAAATAATGAAGATTTTCCAATATAACTGATACCCAACAAAATGTGAGACAACTTCAAAAACATGTTAATGAGATTGCAGTTTCCAAGCTGTATACTGATAAATGTCATGCTTTCAAAGACTGTTGTGACATTGATACAGGTATAGTGTGAAGCAAGTTATGTAAAATTTTATTTCCATTGTAGCAATTTTCTGTGGGGTATGTCACTGGGTTATCCACATGAAATAATTAATATGTTATATCCATTTATATCTATAAATATTATATCTATATCTATTATATTATATGTATTACAAGCAAATATAAAAACTCAATTTTACCTCAATAAAAAATGGTTGTCCTCCTTCATTTTTATCTGAACACAATAATAATGCTGTACCTTCAATATCTTCTGGTATTTCTTTCCACATGAACGGTTGTGTTGATACAGAAAAACTTGATTGCAAATAAATTAAATATATAAGAAAATTTTTAATATCATAAAACCTATACCGTCGAGCATCGATTATCTGAATACTGATCAACTGAAACATCGGTTAACCGAAAGCAATCCAGTTGGCAAATTTCTGCTAGTGCTGTGGTGCTGTGATATTTGGCTATGTCTTGGGCTACTCCAATATTATTTTTGTTGGTGTGTGTGTTTTAGCTGGCAGCACTGGCACAACCATACTGTATTGTTAAAAATTATTTCTTTATTTTGCACAAACAAAATAAATATACTGAAAAATATAAAAACAAAAAAATTATATTTCAGAAGTTAATCTAGTATCAAAAATGTTCTGATTCAGCATGACACATGTCGAGAGAGTACTTAAGGATGCGCCAATATTTGAACGAAACTTTTTCACCCATTGTGAGTGGTGTGTTTTGCTTCAGCTTGTCAAAAGAATATAGCCCAAGCAGCTGACATCTCCAGATAAACCCAAAAAAAAAGAAAAAGTTTTGCTTGTTTTGTGTGGTGTTTTTCTGAGGACTGTGTTGTTGAGACGTGTGTCAGGTTGAATCAGTATGTTTTTGATACTAGATTAACTTCCGAAATATAATTCTTTTTTGTTTTTATATTTTTCAATATATTTTGTTTGTGCAAAATAAAGAAATAATTTTTAACAATACAATAGCCACAATTATTATTTTTTTAAAAATTTCATTAGGCTTAACATTGACGACATACATGATCAGTTATCCGAACAACTCCAGTTCCAAATTGTTTTGAATAATCAATGCTCTACTGTATATTAAATATTCATAAAACTAACTCTTGTTCAGCTGGTTTAAAAAATAATTCTCTAGTTGGCGTATAGACTGAATGAAGAGGAAGATGTAGAATTTTTTGTGGTTCAACTAAGCCACATCGCTGAACTTCATTTCCAGATGATAACATATAGTAAACTTCCATTGGAATTGAAAAGTAATTGATAATCTATAAAAATTAAAATTTAGTATTATTATTTTACATTTAATGTTTTGTATATTAATTAGCACACATCAATAGTAACATTCATTTCTAAATCAGTTTTAATGAAGAATATTCACACAAACATTTGTTAAAAAAAATAAGCATTTATGGAATTAATTACATTTTTGTCTATTACACTTATTTAAAAAAATTAGTTGTAAAAACACAGCATTAAATAAAATTAATAATTTTTACCAGTAATTATAGCTGAATTAATTTGGTAGAACTTCTAAATTATTATAAATACACAACAAATAATTTAAGATAATTTAAATGTTATCTTGGATTATCAACTTTAAAAAACAACCTCTATCTAAAGCATGGCAATATTTATGTGAAAAAAAATTACCCCCACACAGTGATGATAAACACAAATTATAACCATGCATTATATTTCATTTAAATAATTATTTTATTTTTATTTTAGTTTTCGTAATTTAAAAAAAATTGTTACTGATATTTCAGTATGTTTTTATGTTGTTTTATTTTATTTTATATATAATTATTAGTGTTGTAACAAATAGTATATTTGGCCTCAGGCCGAATACAGTCGACCCCCCTATAAGACAGTAGATACGTTCCATTCTTTAGGAATCCGATTTCTTACGAGTCCTTCCAATCACAGCCCGACACGTGTCAAGTTTACTGACTACGGCTGATTGAAAGGTTTTCTTCCATAAAATTAATCGATTCTACACTAATCCGACTCAACATTTCCAAAATACGTATATTTTTTCGTAGTTTTATAGGAATCGTAATTATAGGGATCGTAATTATAGGGGGGTCTACTATAATTAAGAACTTTTCTACAGTGTAAACTGTCAAAAAACTATTTTACTTATAAAAATGCACTACCTTCACAGAGATTTTTATACTAGTGGATGATACAATCATCAGGACATTGCTGTAATAGACTGTCAGCCAATGAAAAGTATTTGCATGTTTATGATGTAAAAGATAATGTAGTCTTTATGGTTTTATACAGGTCTGCAGTAAAATGTGTTTATTTTTTAAACTAAAGTATCATTTTTATAAGATTTAAAGAGTGATGCAATTTCCATGACCACTAGTGTATATAATGAATTTCCATTTTCTACTTACCTCAACAGTGGAATAAAAAGTTATTATTTTGCTTCCTGAACAAGACTTTATATCTACCACAAAACCCCACTGATCACCTGGATATGTCCTACATGGTAGAAGAAAGATGCGTTTTTCTGTTCTGGCAATAGATATTGTTCTCACACAGGTTGAACCATCAATCTCAAGCTATGTACAAAAAAATATATATACATTATTAAATCTTCATTCACTTTTATAATGATGATATGATGATAATTACTCTTTAAAACTAAGTTAATTATATATATATAATAATAAATATCTCATATATAAAATGTATTTTAAAAATTAANCATTAAATAAAGCAGAAATTAAACCCAAAGTAGGTGCAAAAATAAAAATTTATTTGTTAAAATTATGAAAAGAAACAGAACAAATCATTTCTTTTTGTCTAAAGTACTGTAATCAAGTATAGTATTGTGAGAATGTGTTTAAAACTGTTTTGCATTAAGTAACTAGTACACACACAAATGGCAGATTATCTACAGATTTACTTTGTGTAACAACTTGTTACTAACAAGTGATAGTATTTCAAATATTAAGAGAGTAAAATTTTATACTATATATCTTGAAAACACTATAATAACTTTTTAATTTGTGATATAAAAATTTATGAAAATACAAACATGTAAACAAACTATATATAAATATTAAATTTGAAATAAATAAAACAAAGCCCAAATTTTATGATCAACCTTATACCTAATCAATTGGATTAATAATAATAATAATAATAATAACATTCATACATTAGTTTATGCTGGAGCAGTCACAGTAGTAACACACCATGGACTGAAAATATAATTGCAGACAAACACACAAAAAACACAATTCTATCACAAGCCTGCCTGGCAGAGATGAATAGAAACACAAATAAATGACATTAGACAGCAATTAGGCAGGCTGACACAATACACTAAAAACAACATAACACCCAAATTAAAGAAACAACTCAAAAACATTTTCAAGAAAATCAAAACACACACAAAACATGAACATCACAACACACACATTACAGAATACATCGATACACTAAAACAAAAACTCGCAGCCAAAGCACGTAGACTCAAACGATACAAAACATGTACACTACGAAAACAACAAAATAAATTATTCACAAACAATGAAAAACTTTTCTACAGACAAATCAGTACCAAAACAAACACTGATACACAGCACAGTGGCACACCAACAGAAGAAGAACTCACAACTTATTGGTCTTCTCTTTGGTCCAATGCTGTTACACACAATGCTGATGCAGGCTGGATCGAGGAGGAGAACAGAAACTTGCACAACATACCAACTATGCCCTGTGCTGAAATAAACATACACGACATTCGCTACGCTGTTAACAGAACACACAACTGGAAGACACCTGGTGTAGACAACATTCACAATTTCTGGTACAAAAAGTTTACATCACTGCACCAGGAACTAGCTAAACATCTAACACACATCATCATCAATCCACAAGACATGCCAAAATTTCTTACTCAGGGCATCACCTACATGAAACCTAAAAACAACAAAACCACAGACCCCACACAATACAGACCAATTACATGTCTTCCAACACTCTACAAATTATTGACATCCTGTATCACAAACAAAATATACAAACATGTTGAAGAACACGACATTCTTACAGAACAACAAAAAGGTTGCCGTAGAAATCACAGGGGATGCAAAGAACAGTTACTCATAGATTCAGTCATTCTACGGCAAGCACACAAACAACACAGAAACATACACATGGCATATATAGACTACAGAAAAGCATTCGACAGTGTTCCACACAGTTGGCTGCTACATATTCTACACATGTACAAAATACATCCATCACTCATTGCATTCTTCGAAAACACTATGCAGCACTGGAGAACAACACTACATCTCAGGGTTAGTAACACTTCCATACAAACAAACGAAATATTCATTAGGCGAGGAATTTTTCAAGGAGATTCCTTGAGTCCTCTCTGGTTCTGCCTAGCCCTGAATCCATTATCCAACATGTTAAACAACACGCATTATGGCTACAATATCAGACATGAAAAAACAACACAGTTTACACTCTCACATCTCATGTACATGGACGACATAAAACTTTATGCATCCACACAAAAACAACTTCATCAACTCCTACAAATCACACATTCATACACTAAGGACATACAAATGGAGTTTGGCTTAGACAAATGCAAAAAACTTCACATAGAAAAAGGAATCCTGAAGAAAGAAGATTTTGCACTTGGAAATGGAGACGTTATTGAATCCATGGAAGAGGGCGAGTTCTACAAGTACTTAGGATTCCAACAGGCCAAACTAACAGAACATACACAAATAAAGCAACGATTAATTAAAGAATACCAAAGTAGGTTAAACGCTATACTTAGAACACAGTTAAATGCAAAACACACAGTTAAAGCAATAAACACATATGTCATCCCAGTACTCACATACTCTTTTGGAGTTATACATTGGACTCACACAGATCTCGAGCAACTCCAAAGGAAAACAAGAACAACACTTACTAAGCATAAACAACATCATCCTAAATCCGCCACAGAAAGATTAACCCTTCCACGTAAAGAAGGCGGACGTGGCCTGATTGACATAGTTAACCTTCACTACAAACAAATACAGTCACTGCGAGAGTTTTTCTACAAGAAACAAGAAACATCACAGTTACATAAAGCAGTAACTCTAGCAGACTCAAATAACACACCATTAAACTTACACTCACATCATACAGACATGACACAACACATAAAAAGCATAGACACCATCAAGCAATCGTGGGCTCGAAAGGCACTCCATGGCAGGCATCCTTATGACCTGGCCCAGGATTTTGTTGACAAAACTGCGTCAAACAGCTGGTTAGATCGGGGATGCCTCTTTGGGGAGACGGAAGGATTCATGATTGCCATACAGGATCAGGTCATAAATACTAAAAACTACAGAAAACACATACTCAAAGATACAACACTCACAAATGACACATGCAGAAAATGTCACATCATGCCAGAAACTATACAACACATCACTTCTGGTTGCAAGCTCTTGGCACAGACAGATTACTTACATAGACACAATCAAGTAGCAAATATAATACACCAAGAGCTTGCAAAGAAACACAAATTGGCAGACATCCACGAACCATACTACAAGTATATTCCACAGACAGTATTGGAAAACAACACGCACAAAATGTACTACGACAGAGCCATAATCACAGATAAAACAATTTACCACAACAGACCAGACATCACACTCATTGACAAACACAATAAAATCACATACATTATAGACATAGCCATTCCAAACACTCACAATGTACAAAACACATGCACAGAAAAAATTAGCAAGTACACAGAACTCGCCCAGGAAATAAGGCATCTGTGGAGGATGGAAAGGGTGCTTATTGTACAGTACCTGTTGTTCTCTCCTGTACAGGTGTGATACCACACACACTACACAAAAGCCTGGGAACATTACAATTAAGTAGAAATACATACATCACACTACAGAAGGCCACTATATTGAATACATGCCACATTGTTAGAAAATTCCTGAATACAGACACACACACTGACACACACATTTAATTTTAGTTTTGTTTTGGTTGCTATGCCTTGACTTTGGTCCGGCATAGTACACAGACACCGGTGTGAACCGAGTATAATTCACAAAACATAACAATAATAATAATAATGCTTATTAAACTAACAAATTTAGTCTAAAGCTAGGTAGTTACTATGCAATCTTTTAATACCTTATAGTTAATTTGCCATCTGGTATTAGAAAATAATATTCTAAAATTAAACTATTTTGTTTTCTTATGAAGAAATTTTGTTTAATAAAAACATTGAAATACATATAAATTTATGTAAAAGAGTATTTTCAATTATTATACATTATAAGTCTTCAGTTGTTCTTTGTTCCATATCTGAATTTATAATGTCATAGTGGCTTTTAAATATAAAAAAAATTAAGAAAATATAATTTCATAAACAAATCATCAAACTAATGCAAATAGAAAATATTCTTTTATTTTTACATAAAACATAGCTGATAAGTTAATTGTATTAAATATTTTTAGGGATTTCCATTAATTATAAAAAATTTCTTTTAGCATTTTCTACTATTTATAGAAATATCTAATATGTTAAAGACAAGGTTAAGTTATTGTGAAATATATTTGTTGTAATCTTATAAGTTAAAATAAATTTATGAAGATAATATATATATTTGTAATTATAGCAATTGAAAAAGATTTTATTTTCAGAAGTATTATAAAAAATGTTTATAGCATGTTTCTGAATATTTTTAGCATTTCTTAACTTCATCAAAAACCTTTTTGCTACACATTGGTATTGAAATTTTCTACCTTTATCTGTTGCTTTAAGGTTCAAAATTATGATTTTAAATCACTAATTTGATTCAAAATCATAATTAAATTTAAATTCACATATTTGAAGACCAAGGAAATAAATAATTATGACAAATAATTAAAATTTATTATGTAGTTTAACAATCTCTAATGATACTAAGAAATGCTAAAAATGTTTTAACAAATAAATATACTTGCAATAATAATTTTAAAAGTGCTTTTTTTTTAATTATTAATAAAACACATTAAAACATAGATAATACAATGAAAATGCATATTTATATATAAATATTACCTGAAAAATATTATTGGATAAATTTATTGTCAAAGGAATTCCCAATTCATTTTTTATTATATAAGGTGCTGTATCTATACTCTCTCTAACAGTTGTTGATTTAACTGCTTCAGTAAATGCCTGTAGATATAAACATTAACTTGTATTTTAAAAAATATAAAAAAAATAAAAATTATAAAAGTTAGGAAATTTTTTAAAAGATTTATTTTTTAAATATCTACTGAGATATTGAAAGTAAAACTTTGCTTTATGTGATTCATAGCAAAACATTTTAATTTTTTTGAAGTTTCAAATTTCCTGGTAATGTAATTGATGTATTATTTCAACTGTACTATTTTGTTCTTCTGTAAGAAGTCTGCTTCTATTCAAAAAATTGTGTATCAGTGAAATCAATTCAGTTATATATATCTCTATAATAAATGTATTAATAAACCTAATATTTTTAACTGTTGAATTAATTGAAACTCTAGAAAATTTCTGAAATTTTTCAAGTACATCATTTATTTCAAAAATAATAATAGTTTATTCAAAAAAATAATTGCAATAACATTCAAGCACCTTCTTTCATTGAAGGTCAAGGATTCCTACTAAATAAAAACTCAGATTGTTTTGATCCAAATTCTGCAACTGAAATTTTCATCTCATTATCAGCAAACTGCTTTCCATCCAAGAAGTGTTGCATAAAGTAGAAGACATGATAGTTAGATGGTGCAATGTCTGGGCTACATGAGGGTGAGAGAGAACCTCCCAGTCAAGATCAAGCAGCTTCTGCAGGATCACCCTTGACACGTGTGGTCTTGCATTGTCATGAAGAAAGCAGACAATGTTCATTTGTGATCTTGCAGACCTTGCAATGGCAGTTAAGTGATGAACTGGTCACAAAGTGTCTTGATCATTTCTTGTGGTCAAATGTGGGTTAGCTTCCACCAGCTGCTATAGCTTGTCATCCAACAACACAAAAGGCCTTTGGGCATGTGGCTTATCTTCAACTTCATATTGTCCAGTTTTAAATTTACTGAACCAATCATAGATTGTAAACTTTAAGACAACATTCTTGCCTAATGATTGCACCATATGGTGATAATGTTCATCTGCTTTTATACCAAATTGATAATCATAAAGCGCGCACACAAATTTGGTCACAAGCTTGGAAAACTTGACATTTATATTCTACAGAGGTCTAGAAAACTATACAAACTTTTGCATCAACCCAATAATTATAGTGTCATCTTCACATTCTGTAGTAAAAAATCAAAATGATTTATGTTAATGCTAAGATGACAACCTAATAATCAAAAACAATGTTGTGCATAAACAACCATATATTTATATATAGCTCCTCTACTGTGCCATTTCTTACCATTTTTGTTGATGAAAAGATGTTGTATAAGTAGGATAATTTGAAAATTAAAAATTTCAAATTTATGTTCTTTGAACATTCTGTTCTTGTTCAAAACTACAACTGTAGAAGCCCACTTAAATTGGGCCTAAGTATTTTTAAATAGTGTATTTTTTGTTATTGCTCTCAACAAGAGGAAATAAATTTGTTCAACATTATTACTGGTCATTTTATTGCAACTTGCAGGATTCTATTTTAAATTTATCAAAAATGTCATTGTGTTAAAATGGTTTTACACAGAAATAAAGATCCAAGGTTTCAATGTCCTTATATTATATTCAGTTTATCAAACAAAACTCTAATAATTGTTTAAATTAATAAAATAGTTATTATTTTAAAAAATTTTTAATCAATTATATTTTAAATACTTATAACACCACTATATTTTTTTAAGTATTTGATTTAAAAAATCAAGTTAAAATTCTAAAAAGTTAAATATTTAAAATAAAAACTCATTTAATGTTAAATTTAATTAATAGCTTTTTCATCAAGAAAGTACAGTAATACCCTGAACTTACACGATAGGTGGGACCGAGCGATAACTGCGTAAGTCGAATTCGCGTAAGTCGGGGTATAATTTCTCAATGTGTGTAAAATCCAAGTCGGATGTATGTAAGCTAATAAATGTTCTCGTTAATCTTATCTCGTCTTTTGATTCATTCATTGTTACAAAAAATCACCACATAGAGTCTTTCGAGTCTCCCTATAACAAACACAGAAATAAATAACACAAAATAAATTGTAGATATGTGTCGATTCCGCACGACACATCTGAACATGTACGAGGGCTGTTCGGAAAGTTCGCGGCCTCAAATAGAACAACAAACAAAATAATGTTAAAACTTTTTTTATTTTTCAATGTAGTCTCCTTTGTTAGCAATGCACTTATTCCAGCGATGTTCTAGCTTTTTTATGCCATCACAATAGGTCGATTTGTCAAGGTGTGCAAAATACTCGTCCACTTCAGAGATGACTTCGTCATTTGAGTGGAATCTCTTTCCAACCAAGAATTATTTTAAATTTGGAAAAAGGTGGAAGTCTCTGGGGGCCAAATCAGGTGAGTATGGTGAATGTGGAACTAATTGGAAGCTAAGTTCGTTTATTTTTTGTTCAGTGATTCTGGCATTATCATGATGAAACAGAACCTTCTTCTTCACGTGTGGCCTCTTCAATTTCTTTCTTCAGTTTTTCCAAAAGTATACAGTAATAGACAGCATTGATGGTCTTTCCTCTTTCTAGGTAGTCAATAAAGATGATTCATTTAGCATCCCCAAAAAACCGAGGCCATCACTTTCCCCGCTGATGGAACTGTTTTTGCCTTCTTTGGTGGTGGTAAACTGGGGTGTTTCCATTGCTTCGACTGTTCTTTTGTTTCAGGAGTGTAGTAATGGATCCACGTTTTGTCAGTAGTCACAAACTGACGCAAGAAATCCCGTGGATTTTTCTTGTAGAAGTCCAAACACTTCTTTGACATCAAAGTGTGAACATGTCTTTGCTCAGTGGTCAGCAGATGCGGCACCCAACTTGCTGAGACCTTCGTCATACCCAAATTTTTGATTAGATGTGGTGCATTTGGTCGACAGAGATGCCTGTTGTCTCAGCTATCTCACGTGTTTTCAAACGGCGATCTGCTAACACCAAATCGTGAACTTTGTCGATATTTTTTTCAGTGACAGCAGTTGACGCCGTCCGCTGCGAGGGTCATGTTTCACACTCTCTCTGCCAGATTTAAAAAAGGCTGTCCAATTTTTCACAGTGGTTTACGAAGGAGCAGACTCTCCCAAAACTTCATCCATGTCAGCTTTGATTTGAGATGCGGTCAACCCTTTTTTCGTCAGGTATTTTATGACCGCATGAGTCTCTGTCTTCTCCATTTTTGTCAAAGCATGTGCACATTGACTATCTGCTAAGCTGTCGTGGCAGAACTTTATGACAAATCAAGCGGAAATTGGTATCGTATCTTTAGCAAGGATGGCTGAATTATTCACGCCAAAAATTAAATTGATCGCAGTGCCACATATAGGCAAGGCCGCAAACTTTTCGAACAGCCCTCATAAGTTGAACAATAGTGTGGGGGGAGTGAGTAATCAGGAGTTGCCTGGTGCTCAAACAAAGGACAAATTGATGAGATTTGAAAATCGCGTAACTCCGGGTTTGTGTAAGTCAGGGTAGCGTAAGTCGAGGTATCACTGTAACACAAATGTGTTAACACAATTCATATATATTTTGCAAGTACTTTCCATAATCTTACAATCAACTTCAGGCCTTTTACATTCAAACAGAAGAATAAAAACATTACATTAAAAAAAATGCAATTTTTTTCCCCTTAAAAACGCACTGTACTAATTATATAAGAAAACAACAATATTAATATACAACACAGATTGTACAATATATCAAAACTAAGATTTTACTAAAATATAATTGAAATGAATAATTCAGCATGAACCTAAAAGGATTCATCTGCATTCCTAATAAGTGAAGTCCATTGGTCCAGAAGGATCGAGATCAATTGATTACTTAACTTGTCAATTAGTATGTGCAATGTTTCCAATATGGAATAATATGCAATAATTGCATATTATCCCATATTGGAACCAAGTCCTTACTTATAATAATTTACTTCTATTGAATCTGATATTGTGCCTTGAATGCATTATATTACTCAGATGAGTTATGTATCTTAATATTGTATGTTTTCTTATATAATTGGCACAATGTATTTTTTTTTAAATTAAGTTTTATTTTGCAGTTAAATTAAATGTTCTTATTCTACTATTTGAATATAAAACACCTGAAAATAATAACTGTATTATCATCAGAGTATGTGTGAAATATATGAATTGTTATAAAAAGTGTGTGTTATTTTCTTGGTGAAAAAGATAGTAACACCTAAACAATTTTTAAAACACATATCTAGTAATAATCTGGTGTACATAATTATTTTTTTTCAAAAATTCTAGAGAAATTCTCTTTATAAAAAATCCCTTACTATATGTAACCTTTTTATGTTCATAAACTCAGTATATATTTTATTACTTTTTTAAAAAAACTTTAATTTTAACTTTAAACCCAAATTTTTTATTTATATTTAAAATATTAATTATTTTAAATGTAAAATACAGAATATAACATTAATATTTATGAAACTACTTAAATAAATATACAAATCATATTTTTATTTTGGTTATTTATTTTAAATTATTCTTTTCTCTGTTAATCTGATTAATTTGCATCAACAGCTAATAAGAATTATGGATAATATTCAATTAGCAGGAAAAAATTAGGAAGTTAACACTTAGTAAAAGTTTTTACTAATAGATTATGAATGAATTATTTATTAAGAAATTTTTATTAATGTAAGTTAATTAATACAAAATGAAAACTCTGGGTATTATTTATAAATAGATACTAATATAACAAATTGTAAAATTATGGCATGAATTATTATTAAAAAGTTGAAATTAAACAGTGTAAATCTTAAATAATTACAGTATTAGGAAAATTATCATAGATTTGATGTATTTTTATTTTTTCTGTAATTTTAATATTTTACAGATTTTAATACTTACTTCAGATAGATTTGTTACAACATTCATAAAAGTTTTTGTTACTGTAACTTCAAGCATATCAAAAGATGAAATTTCAATACTCATTTCTGGAGGAGGAAATTTNTCTGTATTAAGTCTGCTTCTATTCAAAAAATTGTGTATCAGTGAAATCAATTCAGTTATATATATCTCTATAATAAATGTATTAATAAACCTAATATTTTTAACTGTTGAATTAATTGAAACTCTAGAAAATTTCTGAAATTTTTCAAGTACATCATTTATTTCAAAAATAATAATAGTTTATTCAAAAAAATAATTGCAATAACATTCAAGCACCTTCTTTCATTGAAGGTCAAGGATTCCTACTAAATAAAAACTCAGATTGTTTTGATCCAAATTCTGCAACTGAAATTTTCATCTCATTATCAGCAAACTGCTTTCCATCCAAGAAGTGTTGCATAAAGTAGAAGACATGATAGTTAGATGGTGCAATGTCTGGGCTACATGAGGGTGAGAGAGAACCTCCCAGTCAAGATCAAGCAGCTTCTGCAGGATCACCCTTGACACGTGTGGTCTTGCATTGTCATGAAGAAAGCAGACAATGTTCATTTGTGATCTTGCAGACCTTGCAATGGCAGTTAAGTGATGAACTGGTCACAAAGTGTCTTGATCATTTCTTGTGGTCAAATGTGGGTTAGCTTCCACCAGCTGCTATAGCTTGTCATCCAACAACACAAAAGGCCTTTGGGCATGTGGCTTATCTTCAACTTCATATTGTCCAGTTTTAAATTTACTGAACCAATCATAGATTGTAAACTTTAAGACAACATTCTTGCCTAATGATTGCACCATATGGTGATAATGTTCATCTGCTTTTATACCAAATTGATAATCATAAAGCGCGCACACAAATTTGGTCACAAGCTTGGAAAACTTGACATTTATATTCTACAGAGGTCTAGAAAACTATACAAACTTTTGCATCAACCCAATAATTATAGTGTCATCTTCACATTCTGTAGTAAAAAATCAAAATGATTTATGTTAATGCTAAGATGACAACCTAATAATCAAAAACAATGTTGTGCATAAACAACCATATATTTATATATAGCTCCTCTACTGTGCCATTTCTTACCATTTTTGTTGATGAAAAGATGTTGTATAAGTAGGATAATTTGAAAATTAAAAATTTCAAATTTATGTTCTTTGAACATTCTGTTCTTGTTCAAAACTACAACTGTAGAAGCCCACTTAAATTGGGCCTAAGTATTTTTAAATAGTGTATTTTTTGTTATTGCTCTCAACAAGAGGAAATAAATTTGTTCAACATTATTACTGGTCATTTTATTGCAACTTGCAGGATTCTATTTTAAATTTATCAAAAATGTCATTGTGTTAAAATGGTTTTACACAGAAATAAAGATCCAAGGTTTCAATGTCCTTATATTATATTCAGTTTATCAAACAAAACTCTAATAATTGTTTAAATTAATAAAATAGTTATTATTTTAAAAAATTTTTAATCAATTATATTTTAAATACTTATAACACCACTATATTTTTTTAAGTATTTGATTTAAAAAATCAAGTTAAAATTCTAAAAAGTTAAATATTTAAAATAAAAACTCATTTAATGTTAAATTTAATTAATAGCTTTTTCATCAAGAAAGTACAGTAATACCCTGAACTTACACGATAGGTGGGACCGAGCGATAACTGCGTAAGTCGAATTCGCGTAAGTCGGGGTATAATTTCTCAATGTGTGTAAAATCCAAGTCGGATGTATGTAAGCTAATAAATGTTCTCGTTAATCTTATCTCGTCTTTTGATTCATTCATTGTTACAAAAAATCACCACATAGAGTCTTTCGAGTCTCCCTATAACAAACACAGAAATAAATAACACAAAATAAATTGTAGATATGTGTCGATTCCGCACGACACATCTGAACATGTACGAGGGCTGTTCGGAAAGTTCGCGGCCTCAAATAGAACAACAAACAAAATAATGTTAAAACTTTTTTTATTTTTCAATGTAGTCTCCTTTGTTAGCAATGCACTTATTCCAGCGATGTTCTAGCTTTTTTATGCCATCACAATAGGTCGATTTGTCAAGGTGTGCAAAATACTCGTCCACTTCAGAGATGACTTCGTCATTTGAGTGGAATCTCTTTCCAACCAAGAATTATTTTAAATTTGGAAAAAGGTGGAAGTCTCTGGGGGCCAAATCAGGTGAGTATGGTGAATGTGGAACTAATTGGAAGCTAAGTTCGTTTATTTTTTGTTCAGTGATTCTGGCATTATCATGATGAAACAGAACCTTCTTCTTCACGTGTGGCCTCTTCAATTTCTTTCTTCAGTTTTTCCAAAAGTATACAGTAATAGACAGCATTGATGGTCTTTCCTCTTTCTAGGTAGTCAATAAAGATGATTCATTTAGCATCCCCAAAAAACCGAGGCCATCACTTTCCCCGCTGATGGAACTGTTTTTGCCTTCTTTGGTGGTGGTAAACTGGGGTGTTTCCATTGCTTCGACTGTTCTTTTGTTTCAGGAGTGTAGTAATGGATCCACGTTTCGTCAGTAGTCACAAACCGACGCAAGAAATCCCGTGGGTTTTTCTTGTAGAAGTCCAAACACTTCTTTGACATCAAAGTGCGAACACGTCTTTGCTCAGCGGTCAGCAGATGCGGCACCCAACTTGCTGAGACCTTCGTCATACCCAAATTTTCGGTTAGATGTGGTGCACTCGGTCGACAGAGATGCCTGTTGTCTCAGCTATCTCACGTGTTTTCAAACGGCGATCTGCTAACACCAAATCGTGAACTTTGTCGATATTTTTTTCAGTGACAGCAGTTGACGCCGTCCGCTGCGAGGGTCATGTTTCACACTCTCTCTGCCAGATTTAAAAAAGGCTGTCCATTTTTTCACAGTGGTTTACGAAGGAGCAGACTCTCCCAAAATTTCATCCATGTCAGCTTTGATTTGAGATGCGGTCAACCCTTTTTTCGTCAGGTATTTTATGACCGCATGAGTCTCTGTCTTCTCCATTTTTGTCAAAGCATGTGCACATTGACTATCTGCTAAGCTGTCGTGGCAGAACTTTATGACAAATCAAGCGGAAATTGGTATCGTATCTTTAGCAAGGATGGCTGAATTATTCACGCCAAAAATTAAATTGATCGCAGTGCCACATATAGGCAAGGCCGCAAACTTTTCGAACAGCCCTCATAAGTTGAACAATAGTGTGGGGGGAGTGAGTAATCAGGAGTTGCCTGGTGCTCAAACAAAGGACAAATTGATGAGATTTGAAAATCGCGTAACTCCGGGTTTGTGTAAGTCAGGGTAGCGTAAGTCGAGGTATCACTGTAACACAAATGTGTTAACACAATTCATATATATTTTGCAAGTACTTTCCATAATCTTACAATCAACTTCAGGCCTTTTACATTCAAACAGAAGAATAAAAACATTACATTAAAAAAAATGCAATTTTTTTCCCCTTAAAAACGCACTGTACTAATTATATAAGAAAACAACAATATTAATATACAACACAGATTGTACAATATATCAAAACTAAGATTTTACTAAAATATAATTGAAATGAATAATTCAGCATGAACCTAAAAGGATTCATCTGCATTCCTAATAAGTGAAGTCCATTGGTCCAGAAGGATCGAGATCAATTGATTACTTAACTTGTCAATTAGTATGTGCAATGTTTCCAATATGGAATAATATGCAATAATTGCATATTATCCCATATTGGAACCAAGTCCTTACTTATAATAATTTACTTCTATTGAATCTGATATTGTGCCTTGAATGCATTATATTACTCAGATGAGTTATGTATCTTAATATTGTATGTTTTCTTATATAATTGGCACAATGTATTTTTTTTTAAATTAAGTTTTATTTTGCAGTTAAATTAAATGTTCTTATTCTACTATTTGAATATAAAACACCTGAAAATAATAACTGTATTATCATCAGAGTATGTGTGAAATATATGAATTGTTATAAAAAGTGTGTGTTATTTTCTTGGTGAAAAAGATAGTAACACCTAAACAATTTTTAAAACACATATCTAGTAATAATCTGGTGTACATAATTATTTTTTTTCAAAAATTCTAGAGAAATTCTCTTTATAAAAAATCCCTTACTATATGTAACCTTTTTATGTTCATAAACTCAGTATATATTTTATTACTTTTTTAAAAAAACTTTAATTTTAACTTTAAACCCAAATTTTTTATTTATATTTAAAATATTAATTATTTTAAATGTAAAATACAGAATATAACATTAATATTTATGAAACTACTTAAATAAATATACAAATCATATTTTTATTTTGGTTATTTATTTTAAATTATTCTTTTCTCTGTTAATCTGATTAATTTGCATCAACAGCTAATAAGAATTATGGATAATATTCAATTAGCAGGAAAAAATTAGGAAGTTAACACTTAGTAAAAGTTTTTACTAATAGATTATGAATGAATTATTTATTAAGAAATTTTTATTAATGTAAGTTAATTAATACAAAATGAAAACTCTGGGTATTATTTATAAATAGATACTAATATAACAAATTGTAAAATTATGGCATGAATTATTATTAAAAAGTTGAAATTAAACAGTGTAAATCTTAAATAATTACAGTATTAGGAAAATTATCATAGATTTGATGTATTTTTATTTTTTCTGTAATTTTAATATTTTACAGATTTTAATACTTACTTCAGATAGATTTGTTACAACATTCATAAAAGTTTTTGTTACTGTAACTTCAAGCATATCAAAAGATGAAATTTCAATACTCATTTCTGGAGGAGGAAATTTTATTTCTTCTTCTTCATCATCTGGTATATCCAAAGGATTTTTTGTTACCTGAAAAATTTTTTAAAATTAATCAAATTAATTTTTAGAATATTACAACAAATTCATAATTCTTTTTTATTTTATTAAAAATAAGAAAACAATAATAATTAAAAAAAAACAGGAAACTTTGTTTCCCTTGTCTTTTTGCATTATTTATACATATAGCACTTCATTACTGAAAGTAAATTAAAATTTCATACTCAAACAATTTTATTTAAATAAACAGATACTTTTTCTAGCTTTATAAATATATTAAAAACTAATAATTCAGATAAATAAAAAATTGAAGAGAGAACACTTGGCTTACAATGTATGCTTAAATAGATTTAATGAAAAAATATAAATTTTTCTGTAATTATGAAATTTTTGGTTATTTTGATCATCTGATATAAAAATCTTGAACAAATTATGATCTGTGGATTACATGCATCCTATAAACAATAGTCTTAGTTGAATATAAAAAACAAACTTTGTTTATAAAATAAAATTTCTAAATTCATTAGAACAAAAAATTAAATATTCACAACAATTATTATTATTTATACATAGATTGCAATTGCAATTGAGCTAATTAATTGCATTTATCAAATTCATATTTTCATCAAAATCAATATTAATAGATAAATATGAATTTAAAAAAATTATAACTGATCAAGTTGCCAAGTTTTTCATATAACAAAAAAATAATGTGTTTTTTACACAAATTTTCAATTTAAAAGACATTGCCTTGAAAGTTATTTTAAACTTACCTGCATTGTTATTTCCCAAGGTTTAAGTTGTCCAGTAGGTAATTCAACAGGTTCAATGAGAGGTTCCCAAACAGCTAGTTTCTCATTATAATATCCCATTTCAACAGTCAAGTTGCATCCAATGTACAGCTTTAATTAGTAAATATTTAAATTTTTAAAATTAAAAATTAATACAAATATGCTTTTGTATTACACACACACACACACACACACACACACACACACACAATTTATATAAAAAGAGAAATATTAGCAGAAATTTAATAGTATTAAATATTTCATCTATTGTTTTCTGTAGTAAAACTATAAAAAATAAATTAATAACTTACACATATATACATACATAGATATTATAAGTTATTAATTTATTTTCAAAAACTAAAAGGTCCTCTTAGTGCACAACAGAACAGCCTATAGACATTGGGTGGCTGAACCGTGGTTTAAAATGTGTTGCAAAGACGACGAACATCTATTTCTGACCATTCTCTAAACGAACTTCGGCAAAACATTGGCTCTTACTTACTTCGCTATTACTCCCCTGTTTTAGGAGTCGTTCGGCCAATCGGGTTATTTGTTTGTGACGTCAAAAATGGTCGCCAGCTATATTCGGAAAGCTTCCAGAAATAAAATCTTAAGGCCGTCAAAACAATTGTTCGGCAATTAATGGCAATCCTTTTCCATTTCNCAACACAAAGTTGAGTTAACGTTAAGTTGAACATACACAATATTCAGAGGGTATTCAAATATTACAATGCTTTAGGTTCTTGTTACACTCAGACATTTTGTCTTTTTATATTATGTATTACATATTAGTCTAATCCACGAATTTTCTTACATGACAATCCTACCATCAATAAACAATTAAAAATACAAGGGAGAGGAGGTGCTAGTATGTGAGTGTTTACTCAATTCATGTTGCAGTTTTCTCCTGGTCAGGAAAACTTTGTTGTTTGGAGCAGAGTCCATTATTCCATAGGCTTTCATAACTTTTCCTTTGCACAGTCTCATTGCTGGTCACCTTCACGTTCTTCCCATAATAGCACTGAAAATAAAAGAAATACTCTCTCAACCATGAGTCACTATATACTCTCTCTTGCTTCCCCTCTGGGTTTATTGTCCCTCCAGGCAATAACGGGTGATGGAATATTCTAGAAGCTTATAAACAAAGGCTTCATAACTGACAATTTAATTTTATATACAGAAATGACAAGCGATTACTACACCATAATGCTTGTCATCACTTTATACATTACACGTGTAATTAATATAATAATGTAATGTTTGTTTAGTATCCTGTATTTTTCCTTAGTACAATTAAAAGAGTTGATCAAGAATATGCATTACGTACTTTTGGGGATGGGTATGTGTGATGGCATTATGGAGGCTGGGATAGTAATTAAAAAGTTTAAAAATTGCATTATATAATTTACAGACAATCCTATAATGGAAACAATCAATATCAATGAAAAATATTGCAAAATTGATATTGCCAAAAAATAAAGTATAAATTTCTTGCCAAAAAATAAAGTACAGAAAAACATTAATGACATTTTGAAAGAGAAAGGTAGAACATGTGGTCTCTAAAAGGATACCATTTGACAACTGACACTAAACAAATCTTAAACAAAAGGTAGGAAAGTACAAATTGAGATAAATAAAACATTTGGAAAATAATACAAATGCTACAATACTACTATTTATCTATTTTTTCGTTATAAGTACATGCATTTATATAAAAAAAATAAATAATAGTATTAATAGTTCATTATTCAAATTTGTTCCAAATTTTACTTTTATTACATTAAAATCTTCAATGAAACTACTAGTTATTAAATTGAAAATTTAAATGAATCTAGAGGGCCATATGGTGGGCGACTGAAACGTCTGGCCCTCTCCTCATCATCAATAAAAATAATTTTTGAATAGCTTTTTAATGAATAATTCTAAATAACCCATTTCATCATAATGTTTAAACAGTATTTCACAGGTTCTGTCATGTCAAAATTTTTTAATCTACTGAGAAAGATCAAAGTGAAAAAAAGTCACCCCCAAAAATTCGCCAAATTTTCTGTCAATCAATAAAAAATCCTCAATGTGGAAATGCTGTGTGGCAAATGCTGTGCATTGTCTTCAGTTTTCAACATCAATTCCTATTTTTCTGCCTGACCTTGCCATATGATGTCACCAAATCTCAGGGTGTGTGGTGCATGAGATTCCCATCACACAGGCGGTAGACATTCTGATGTTTTTCCTGTAGTGTGCTTTGTGATTCAAATTCATGCTAAATGTTGAGATAAATGGACTAGGGTTTTTATTACCAATATTATATTTTTATGGCCACTGAAGTAAAAATATCACCAAGTGGTGATTTTGGTGCTATGCAACACAACCTTGAAGAGAGCTTTAATAATAAAATATACTTTTAATAATAACATAAAACAATTATTATTAAGAATCATTTCAATCACATCCCTAGCCCTGTAGTGGATAACCTTTGTTTTATATCATTATTTTGGCAAGCACATTTAACTCAAATGTGAGCAATGATGGAAACAGGGAAATAACATAGCTTTATAAAAGTGTATGTTGGTTAAGAACTGCCCTTTTAAGCTAATAGATATCCTGGTTTTCACATCTTTATACAATGTGCAAGTTAAAGGGTAATAATACAAGACATTCCATAGAAACTTTGACACAGCCTTTTCTAAATTGTAAGTTGTATGGATTCTTTTATTTACCAGTGGTCTCAACAGCCAACAGATTTTATGGGCTTTATAGTATTCCAATCTCCTACCAACCCAAAGTTCCATTTGTCATTACATTGGGACAACTTTGGGGGAAAAAAAGTTAAGTAAACACCAAGACCACAAGTGTCAACAAAGACCTCATAAGTACTGAATTTGCCAAATACATTTTAGAAGGGTATACACTTCATGTCAACATGATGACCCTCTACTTAGGAGCATATATGATCTAAATAATTTGTTTGAAAAATTTACTCATGAGGTGATTAAAACCTAGAAACAAGACAATGTTACATCCTCTGGATTTCTGGTTAATCTTAAATAAAATTAATGAAGCAAATCATGTATGTATTTCAATCTATTTATCTTAATTCTTAGTGCTTTTTTAAAAATAAATTCTAATTGGTTATTTTGAATTATTTCCATTTGACACATAAGAACTTTGATTTAATATTGTGAGACCTGAAAGGCCCTGGGTCTAAAATAATTTTATTAATAATATTAAATATTGTCACCAAATATTAATTCATTTTTGGTGAGAAAATAATGTTTTAAACGTGGAAAAAGGCAGATAACAGATGCTACTTCCTTTCGCAGAAGTTAGAACATCCTCTGACTTTCCCTTATCTGGTTAAAATCCCGCTCAGATGGGAAATGTTTACCCCTCATTCATTCCCCTTTCATCCTTTCTCATGAAAGAGTTACTGGCCGATGATTGGTCGAAAATCAGGAGATATAGAGAATTTGTCAGAAATCGGGGAGTTCATCAACAGACATAGAGAGTGTCCGAACTCCATACATTTTCCTCCTGATGACCAATGCCCTTAGACGAGTCACATATAGAATAAATTCCCGAGTTAGCACTTGGAAGTTATACTTTGATTTTGTGCACATATTGATCTCCCATGAAAAGAAGTAAATGAACTTTATCTCCACAGTGTCCCTTGCCTACAGAGAAGAAGATGAGAACAACTAACACAGGTTGTATGTTCTAATGATTTTGTGAGCTCTCTCTCTCGATCGCGAAGCGGGTATAGTATAAGTCCATGCCTATATCGTGTATCTTAATTGTCGTATTATTATCCCTCGTTCATTGATATTTGTATTAGTTTTACTTATATAGAATCATTAAACTTACTCTTGCTTGTTTTATATAAGACATGACTCTTAATTTGAATCATCATAAGATTTCTTCACGCGTGTTAATCCACATATAATAAGATTGATTAACTGGTGTCACAGGAATCCTGACGTAGATCCAAATCTCGCAATTAGGATCGTTTATAACAGCCCTCCTATAAAAAGTAAGAGAACTGGTCTTACCGACTAGTGCCAGTAAGTGGCGTAACCTAGTTTACGTCCAGGCTGATCTCACAATATGTCATTATTGTTTCAAAGCTAACTACCTGAAGACAACATTTTTGAATTTCTCAAAAATGTTTTAATCTTATTTATTTAAGTGAACGATTTTAACTCTAAATACTGTAATTAATTTATCTTTATAATATACATAATGATGTTCACTATAGTAAACTGGTTTTTTATATATATAGGGTAATTCAAAAGTCATAGAAATTTTAAAAAATTAATAACTCACAAACTATTTACAGTAAGATGAAGTGGTTTTCACAGAAACACTTAGAAAGAAGCTGGATTTGTGTGTGTGTAATAAAAATTTTAGTACCAAAATAGTTACATTTCTTGCCATTGGATGGCACTTGATAAGATTATATAATTTGTGTAGTTGTTACTAGAGCTTACACTAAGAACATTTTAATTTTTATATTCTTAATTTTACAAATGTTCAATGTGGTGCCCATCATTCATGAGCACAGCTGTTAGATGTGGTATGACACTACGAACAGCATTAAAGAGCATTTCAGTTGGTATTACTGAAACTTCACATTGGATAGAGTTCTTCAACATGGTTAATAAAGTTATCTGATGTCTGTATACCTTTGACTTCAAAGTAGTTCCATAACCAAAAGTCACATGGTAAAAGGTCTGAAGACCTTGAAGGCCACTCATTTAGAAAAAAGCAACTGAGGACATGGTTCTCTCCAAAAGTTAAAAAACCCTTATGACAAATAAGGGTTGTTTGATAGGAGTAACAATGTGTGGAGGTGCTCATCTTGTATGAATGTTACACAGTTAAATGCTTGCCATCTGCTTTCACTCTCCTACATTGCCATCTAATGGCAAGAAATGTAAAAATTTTAGTATAAAAAATCCTGCTTCTTTCTAAGCATTTCTGTGAAAACTGAATCATCTTACTGTGTGTAGTTTGTGAGTTATTAATTTTTAAAATTTCTGTGACTTTTGAATTACCCTGTGCATACAGTATATTTATTGGTGTTTCCAACAAACTACATAAAACATTGTATAAATTTTAAAAGATAAATGCAAACAAAACAAGTTTGTTTACTTTGACATTAAATGATATATCCAAGTAACAACACTTGAGATAAGTTCATGTTATTTAAAAAAAAGCGAAAGTATAGGAAATTGTAAATTATATTAGTAAGATTTTTAAAAGAATTTACTTTATATTATCTTATTCTATGGCGTAGAAAATAAGTGCTGAAGGTTTGAACTTTCAGCATTTATTTCCCATCTCATAAAATCAGATTTACTGTTTTAAAGCAAATTCAACAATAATAATTGCAAAGGATTACAAACGTATCTGTATTGCTAAAAGTTCAGAAAAATGCAAATACATCAGTTTGTGGAATTATTCTGAGATAAAAAATTGCCAATTATTCATACAGGTAGCAAATGGTTATTAATGAAACTCTAATAATTGACCTACACTACTGAAATTATGAAGTGAAGTGATTTTGAAGTGTTTGTGTCACTGTAAATATTTTTTTTATTTGGTAACATAAAAGTAATATTTAAAAAACATTTTATAAAAGAACACTTATTAAAAACTCACTAATGAACTCCAATCCTTAATTTCAGAATGAAAAGAAGATTCTAATAAAATCATTGGGACTGTTCTTAAACCTCTGCCAGCTTCAATAGTGAGAATTATTTTTTTCATATTTAAAACCATCTACAAAAAAATTTTTATTATGTTTGTATATAAAGATTGATCTTAATGCATTATAAATTATTATTATTATAATACCTCTTCTGATGCTGTTGTTTCACATACATATTCTTCACAGGAAAAGTCTTCTGTAATTTCAACAGCTTCATCTTTTCCTTTCACTGTTTCTAAAAACCAATATGACTGATCATTTACATTACAAGGTTCCCATATATTACTATAATCCACTGGTTTAATTTCCTCCACAGTTTCTTCAATTTCCTAAAAAAATTAAATGTACAGTCAGAAAAATATAAATATTTTTTTTTATATCATATGTAACAATAAATAATTAAAATTGAAACTATATAAATTATTAAATGAAAGATGGAAACTTGCAGTAGAAAATAAATATTTTTTCCTATATCATTATTATTGTAATATAAACAAGCTTTTTTCAATTATGTATTCACTATATAAAATACTACGAAGTTCTCCTGATTGTGTTCAATAGCCAACTCCAGTATTTCAAATTGCTGACAATGCTCTCCACATCCATGATTAACATGTAATAATTTATACAAACAATATAAATTATATATATACTAATTAAATAACTGTAAATATTTTAAATATTTAACAAAAAAAAAAACAAAAAATAAAACAATGATAAAACAAAATTATGTAGTTTAAAATACTGTAGAGCAAATTAATAGTAATAAACATAGCATCTTTATAGGAGTTAAAGATGGTATATCCAAAATACCTTTGTCCACTACCCTAATTTAACCTTGGCAATATTCTATAAAAATTTAAAACCCATTGTTCACATTTTTTCTTGATCTTATGAAATTATTATGGACTATCTCAGTAATCCACTTAGTCCCTTATGCTCACTCAGTAATCAATCTTTGAATTTTATTTGATAGCAAATTATCATATAAATATCAAACTGAAAAAATATAATACTTATTTATTAGACATATTATAATGGAGACTTTATAGATCAATTTCTTCAAAAACATTGTGATTCTTTACCAATTTTCAATTTATACTAGCTTGCTTTAGTTTATTTAGTTCAATTAACTTATTTAGCTTAATTAGTGCTTACTTGGAAATCTTCTACCACCATAACAATTAAGTTTCATAACAGTTGAATTAAATTAAACACATCTTTTATTCAATATATCAGCTTATTTGCCATAAACAGATTCTGCTGAAGGCACTTTTATCAGACTGAAATTTTCTGAAGCTTTTTAACTGTATAAAATAATTTGATAGTACTCATTTCCTGCTGCCTAATTTCATTTAACTTAACCAAAAGCTGAAATAAATCTTGGATAGTGTACTAATAGCATTTTAGATAGTTGGCTAATAAGTTATGTATATATATCTCTAAACCTATTGTTGGTGATCTTGCTTTGTCAACAATTGGATGTAGTTGTTTACCTGGCTTATCAGTCTGAAAAAGTGAAGAGCCACAGGGTGTCTGGGGAATGTGTGGTAGAGTGCCTTAATAGCAAAACTTTGGCAAGATTCATACAAGTCAGATGAATAACTATTCTGTAGCTTCTGCACATGATTGTCATTGATCCATTGGCATTGTGTAGATTCTATTTATTCTTCCAAGATGTTGACATAGGAGGATCTTTTCATTATGACAATTTCTTGGGTTTTTATTTGCTTTGAGTAACGAAATATTGTGCTCTGTAGTCACTTCTTGCTTTTGTTGATGTTCACAGTGCTCAATTTCATCTCCATATTTCCATCCATTAATTTGACAATTTCTTCTTATAAAAAGTATAAAGTCAAATTTAAAATTTTACTGCCAGATGAAATGTGTCTGAGTTCCTACATGTAATATCCACAATATTTTGTGCATACATATTTAAAAGCATAAAATGTTCTATAAAATTTTTTTATTTGCATGATATTCAATAAATGAACTTGCAGAATTCCAAGTGAAATGCATTCTCAACTTAAGTTCCTTTATAAAAGATTCATAACAGTTAAAAAGTATGCAGGTTCTTTTTTGTAGTGACAATTAGATTATTTTTTAGCATAAAATTTGTATAACTCAATGTAGATTAACATGTACTAGTGGCTGTGATAGCTGCATGTGCAGGCTTTTTTTTACTCTTATCTGTCTTTTTTTGTTTGACTCTTTTTTCCATGTGAGAAGTAAGATGACTTTTTATCAAGTTCATCATGGATTTGATCAGGCCCACAATAGGATGGCTGAATGGTGAGGTATGGGTCCTGACATATCCAGGATAGACCATCTATAAAAATTCCTGGAGTTTTTCAATCCTAGGTAGTGGTGGTTACAAATGGAGGAATACAGAAGCTTAAGTCCTCCCCAATGACAAAAAAAATTAATTAAAATTTCTTTGTTTGAATGTCTAATTGTTGTTTTTAAAAATCTGATGGCAAATATCATTTATCAGACCATCTGCAATGTAATCATTGTGTAAATGTTAATAAAAGGTACTTATTAAACATTCAAATATTTTTAATTTTTGAATTTTGGATACTTCTGGATCCATCCATCATCTTATATCTTTCCAGAGAAGAAGGCGGCTACATTAACTGCCTCGGTTATCCAACTGGCCAAACTTTGACATTATAAAACTATGAAAGGTTTCATGCAGATTGAAAATTAGTGCACAAGACACTAGACTGTTGTCTTGCAATACACAATTCATGTGATATACTCATTGTGGGGCATCACAATTAGTCTAAAGAAAAAAATCTAGATACTGTCTATACAATGGTACTTCAGCACATACACCAAATCTAAACATTAAAATGTGTGTAGACTTACTGCATATAGTCCACTTTGTAGACTTGCCTTAAAGTCATAAATCTTATTTTTGGAAATCATGAATTAGCAATGCATTCTCAGGTTAGGAATATATTTCAGGAATGTAATCAGTATAAAAACTTTACAGGTTTATCAAATAAGATGACATTCCAATTACACAATTAACAATTAAATGGTTAATCAGTAATAGGCTTGCTAAAAATATTAATTATTATAAATACAAGTATTATAATTTACCGATTTTGTGGATATTGTAGCTAATATATTTGAAAGAATTTCTATAGTTCCTGGTGATACATGAAGGGCTATTTCAGTACAATCAACATTAATATGTTGCTTTTTATCTGATGGACAACTATACAGGAGATTAATTTCACATGGTGTAAGAATCTGTTTTAATAAAAAAAAATTGTTTAATGAAATATATAATATTTTATTCACACACACAAATTATATATGGAATACACATATTTATATAATTTAAATCAATTAAATCATTTAATATATTTAAAATTTTATGTTTATAACAGACAACTGAAATATATCATATATAACATTAGTTTAGGTAATTAATCACTGCTTAATAACTATTTTGAAATTTACAATTTTTAAACAGAATTTAATTAATTTATCAAGAATTAAATTTAAAAATACTATAGTAATCACTAAACAAAAGAAACCACTATCACTGTCTTTCCTGTATCAAAAGTTGTGATTGTATAAAGTTAGATAGACCAACTTTATACAATCACAGGTATTCTATCCAATACAATCTCTCTACATACTGGTGAATATAAATAAAATACTCCTCAAACCTTTTAACCAGAGTGCTTCTATTTTTAGAATCGTGACCATTTTCGTCACCCCTCCTGGGCTCTTCTTCAGGCTTTAACAAATAGGCCGTTACTGTTCAAATAAACATTCGATGTGAATTTCTTCCGAACACTATCATGTGAAATTGTTCGTAGTTGTATTGCGCATGCTCCATAATCATCTCTTTAAACACTGTTATCCAGCAAAATCTGCCATGCTACAGATAGGGCCATTTCCTCCTTATAATTAATACACGTACCATTTCTTCCCACCTTAAATATCTTCATGGCTTCTAGTCATTTTAGTTGTTGTGGGTTGGAGTTCGTTATAATGATTTTTGCCGTATGCAGGTCTGCCATTATTTCCTGTTCCGAAGTGTATGTTGCTAGGGCCATTGTGTTTCTACCATGCTGTATGTCTGACTCATGTTCTTTTAACTTCACTTTTAATGAACGTTTCATGGAACCAATATATGTCAGTTGTCTATCACACCTGTTGTCTTCTAGTGGTACTGTGTATATTCCTGGAAGCCTTTCAGGGTTTGGTAGGTCTTTGCCATTTGTTAGTATCCTGAAGACAGTTTGACATCTTCTGTATGCAATATTTATGCCCCTTCGTTCGGCTACCATGTTGTAGACTGATTTCAGTATCAGGTTATATGTGATAGGTATCCTCTCTTTTTCTTCATCACGTATATTCAATGGTGGCCCTGTCTGATCAATGGCTTTTTGGGAAACCTCATGCCTTCTAGACAAATTTTTGACTAGAGTGTTGTTGTATCAATGAGCTACAGCAATATTTTCTATATGTTGGAGTTCTGTTGTTAGAGCTTGTTGCATCAAGTAGTGTGTGTGTGTGATCAATTAGTGTGTCTTCTCACTAATGCTTGGAAAGCAGAGATTTTGTATGGGATAGGATTGCTATCCCATACAAAATCTCCGCTTTCCGAGATATTTAAGGCAGGAAGAAATGGTACGTGTATTAATTATAAGGAGGAAATGGCCCTATCTGTAGCATGGCAGATTTTGCTGGATAACAGTGTTTAAAGAGATGATTATGGAGCATGCGCAATACAACTACGAACAATTTCACATGATAGTGTTCGGAAGAAATTCACATCAAATGTTTATTTGAACAGTAACGGCCTATTCATTAAAGCCTGAAGAAGAGCCCAGGAGGGGTGACGAAAATGTTCACGATTCTAAAATTAGAAGAACTCTGGTTAAAAGGTTTGAGGAGTACTTTATTTATTCTATCCAAGCCTATTTTAGACAATCCTTAAGTGTTTATATATTAATAATTTAATCCAACTCAATTTAGACTTGCCATGAAAATTATGAAACATGGCACTATATCATAACTTAAAAGTTTAAGTTATGATATATTGCTAAGTTCAAAAAACTAAAATTATTCTTTATTCAGTAATATATTTGGCTATTCTGACTATTCTCAGCTTTCAACAAATACAAATAAATGATAAAGAACATAATTTTAAAATTAACTCATTAATTTTATAACAGTTATAAATTAAAAAAAAAATTTCTATAATAAATTATTTAAAAATTATTTTACTTCTCATTCCTTCACATTTCTTTTTCAATAGTTAGTTACAAAGACCTATATTTGTTTATACTTTTATTGTTTATATATATATGTTTTTAACTTTTCAAATTTCTTTAATCAAGGAAATAAATAGAAAGTTAAATTTCTGTATATATGAATACTATTGACTTGTAAATATAAATATCATACTTTTAATGACAAAAAGTTTCTAAACTTCTGGTAAGGAATTTTATAATTAGAAAATAATAAATATTGAATACACAGGAATAACAGAAAGAGACTGAAAGGCTGTGTTCAAGAGTATTTCAGTGATGTTAAAGGAAGAGTTACTTCAGTCCTCTGTCATTAAGTAAAAAACTTTTTTGAAAATAATTTTTTCCATTGTCTCCTGTTGGGAAAAGTGTTTAGAAAAGAATGCTGACCACATAGAAAAATAGCTTAGACTACGTACTTTACTTTGAAATGTCTAATTTAATTTTTTAACCTAATTTATTATTAAGTTGTTATAAAAGATTGTACATAACTTTTGAAACATACCATATTTTGCGGCTTTTAAAATTAAACAAAAGTTTCTAAAACGTTTAAAGTAAAAAGTTTTAAGAGAAAGCATCTATTCAATTTATAAAAGGGAGCAACTCACAATAACCAATTAACAGGAGTGCATTTGCGAACATTTCTGTAGCCCCTTCTGAGCTCTTCCTCAGGCTTCTTTTTTTTATCAAACAATGTTTAAATGATACGATAACAATACAATGAGTTTGAATGCACATGCGTTCAAATTCATCATATTGTTCAATATTATTTAAACATCTTGGAGCACATGCACATATGGTATCACAAATTGAATACCATTCAATAGATATTGGAATGTTAACAACCAGCTTGTTTGGAATAAAAAAAGAAGCCTGAGGAAGAGCCCAAAAGGGGCTACAAAAACGTTCGCAAATATCGATCATATGCACTCCGGTTCAAATATATATCTTTTACTATTTTCGAAAGGTAATATTAGTGAAATAGATAAAAATAATATACTTAACTTCAGTAATAATAGAACCCCCAAATTACATATACGGTTAAAAACACATAAAAAAGAAGAAAAATATAGACCTATTGTTGATTTCAGATACTCGATACTGTACAATTTAGAAAATTATATTAAAAGCCAATTAAAATGTATTGATAATTCTAAAAATAGCATAAAAAATGCTGATGAAGTACAGTCGACCCCCCCTATAAGATCATAGATACGTTCCATTCTTTAGGAATCCGATTTCTTACGAGCCCTTCCAATCACAGCCCGACATGTGTCAAGTTTACTGATTACAGCTGATTGAAAGGTTTTCTTCCATAAAATTAATCGATTCTAGAGTAATCTGACTCAACATTTCCAAAATACGTATATTTTTTTTGGAAATAATCCGTATAAACTACGCTATAAACAAAAAATTGTAGGATTACTTACCGAGTGTGCACCATTCGACATCGCCATTGCTAAAGCTTGTTTTCGTCGCGGAACAGCTCAGCAAATAGCGGCCAATTTCTAACAACTTATTTTTCTGCGAAAACTTTGCTGAACTTTGGAGACATCATTAATATAAATAATTTTAACCGTCGTTGAATAAGAAATGTTTCTTTCACAAGAAATGTATAAAATTACAGTACTGTATTAGACTTACGGTAGCTAATTTACATACTGTACAGACGATAGTTAGCGTAAAATCTCTGTAGCGTGGCGCCACGTGGCGGAAAAAATATATATAATTATAATAAAGTTACAATAAATTAAGTTAATATATAATTATATATACAGTACCTAATTTATATATAATTAATATATAATTATATGTACAGTACCTAATTTATATATAATTTATATAATACTGTCCAGACGATAGAAATCTCTCCGTAGCGTGGCGCTACGGACAGCGGGAAAGTAGTTCGGCTGCCCGATGACGTCTTACGTAATTATAGGAGTGTTTTTACCTTTTTTTATGGATACCGTCACAATTTTTTCACAGTTTTATAGGAATCGTAATTATAGGGACTGTAATTATAGGGGGGTCGACTGTAATTAACATTATTCAAAAGATTAAAAAAGAAAAAACAGACACATTAATCAGTCTAGATGTGAAAAATATGTACCCTAACATAAAATGGAAAATTAGTAAAAAACAGTCTCATACAATTAAGAATAAATAAAACTTTAATAGATCTAATACAATTTGCATATAAAAGAAATTATTTTGAAGTATATGATAATTTTTATAGACAAACCAATGGGGTTAGTATGGGGTCAAAGATGGGACCAAAACTTGCTGAATTAGTAATGAGAGGTGGACAAAAAAATAAAAAACATCCCAGGAGTAAAAAGTGTAATGCAATATGTAGATGACTATTTAGTGTTTATTTAATAATCAAATAACAAATGATAAAATAATTCTCAACACAGTAAATAGTATAAATGAAGATATAAAATTTGATATAGAATTTGAAAAAGAGAAAAAAATTAATTTTTTAGATACAACAATAAAAAATGAAAACAATAAATTTTCGTTTAAAACTTACAAAAAACCATCCAACGTAAATAAAACAATAAACTACCACTCTTGTATACCAGATACTTTAAAAAAGAATACATATATAATGGAGTTAAAAAATATATACACAAGAACTACCAATGAAAAGGACCAAAAAATTGAATTAAATGAATTAGAACAAAAATTCATTCTGAACAATTATCCCGAGAAAACTTTAAAAATTTGGAAAACACAGTATTATAAAAATAGATTTAATATAAAAAATAAAAAAGACAAAACATATAAAGCCTTCCCATACATCACTAATATTTATGATAATTGTAATAAAATGCTTAAAAAAGAGAATGTAGTCTTGACCCCAGCTTTGACCAACAAAATTTCACATAAAGTACAAATTAATAAATTAAAAACAAATAAAACTAATAGTGACATATTGAAAAAAAAACAGGTGTAGTCTATAAAATCAACTGTAATTGC